GAAACATGTATATTATCTAGGGTGAAACAGATCACCAGCCCAGGTTGGATGCATGAGACAAGTGCTCGGGCCTGGTGCACTGGGAAGACCCAGAGGGATCGGGTGGAGAGGGAGATGGGAGGGGGGACCGGGACAGGAAATACATGTAAATCCATGGCTAATTCATTTCAATGTATGACAAAAACCATTGCAATGTTGTAAAGTAATTAGCCTCCAACTAATAAAAATAACAAGGCAGGCAGTCACAAGGAAAAATGAGCAAAGATTCAGTTTAAAAAAAAAAAAAAAAATCCCAACAGGCAACACACCAAAGAGGAAAACGAGCCCCCACTAAGCACGAAAAGGTACTGGACCCCGATGGTCACGGGGAGAATACACAGAAAGCTCACGGGAGGACCCCGGCAACACCAGATGGGCTAGAAGCGCAGTGGTGGGGAGCCTGGGTGGGAGTGGCCTCTCTGTAAGACAGGGGTCACTGCCCGGCAACCGCCGAGGGAACACACACCCTGGAGAAACAGTCTGTAGTTTCTCCTTCAGTCTTAAGAGGGTTCACCAAAGTTCTACCGTGGTCCTGGGGTGTAACGATGCCAAGCTACTCCCGGACAGGGTCCAAGTAGTACACTTAGTCTATCCCCTGGATTCTGGGGGGCTGGTAAGATTACCCCAATCTGGGAAACAACACAATCATTTCACTCTCCTGAATGTGGCATCTGAGGTGACCCTGACCCTGTAGCCCCTCTAATAGAGGCCCCTCGTCTTGTGTCAGTAACATTATCAGGTATTCCAAGTGGACCTGCTCAGTGAGAATTTCAGCCTAGATATACTTCTCACTGTAAATTTTAAAACTGGCGTTTGGACTTGTTAAAACAATTATCAACAAAAGATGAAGAACGATTAGACTAAAAGGGATGCTATCAAATTCCAATTATTCTATGTCTGGGAACACTGAGGCCAGAGGAAGGGGAATCCTCCACCAGAACCCGGAACCCCTGCTTCTCAAGCTGGTCTCCCCTCCACCCAACTACCTGCCCAGGCTCCCCACCCGCTCCCAGGACAGCCCCCAGTGCCAGCCTTCCTGTCCAGTGTCTCCCAGTGACTCTCCACAGCCAGGGACACAGGAGGAGCCTAGAGCACTCAGAAAAGCAGCCCACGCAGGGAAGGCAGAGCAACCATCAAAACAAAACCAGGGCGAACTAGGGGAATGAGGGTGCTGGCCTGCCACTCAACAGCAGCCATCAGCGTCCCCGTGCGGGCAGAATCCTGGCCATCTCCCCAGGGCCTGGCACACCACAGGTGGACACCAGGTGCTGGGGGCAAGAAGGACTGGCGGCACTTTGACGTGTTAATCAGCAACGGAGCTGCAGGCTTCAGCCCAGGTGCCAGACTCAACTGTCTTCTCAGAACCTCAGGGAGCTTGCCAGGAATAGCAGCAGAGCTGGATGTATGCGCCTTAGAAAACACTCACAGGCCCAGCGGGGACCACTGACAGCTAAGCCACTGAGAGTTATCTCCAGGGAAATGACTGCCTCCTGCTCAGGAGCGGTGTCCCCGGCGCTGGGACAGCTGACAGGCTCAGCAGGAGCAGCTGCCTGGCCTTTGGGGGGGTGGGGGCAGAATGTGACGGACGGACACACAGCCAGATAGCCCAGCAGTTTCAAACTGGGCCCAGAGTGTAAATCTCATCAGGTCAGTTCCCTGTCCTCACACTCTTGCTTCTTTTGAAGGCTCAAAGCTTCTCAGCGTAACCCTGAGGTTCTAAGCACAGCCAGGATAGCCCCAAGACCATGGGCCCCTAGACCGAGGGGAGACTTGGCTACCAGCAACCTCCGCCTGCCCCAGCAAACCAGTCCTCAGCAGCACCACAAGGTCTGCCCCCGCTCCGCACATGCGGCGGCGGCAGCAGCTCCCAGGCTCCACCATCTGGGAGCCATGGCACCGTCGGGCACCAGCGGGCAGTGCAGGGGCCCTGCCTGCTCCACGGTAGTGGCTTCCAGTCCTCAAGACCCCCCGGCAGTGCTCAGCTAACATCCCCATTCCCACCAGCCAAGAGGGTGTAAACTCACGTTTACTGGGCTTTACAGTGCCTGGCGTGGAGTGCCAGGCACTCAAACACAGGATTCTTCTAATCCTCACAGTACCCTACTGACACAGATGGCATTATCCTCATTTTGTGGACAAGTGAAGGAGGTTAAGTAACTTGCCCAAGGTCATGCAGCTGGTGTTAAAGGTGGAATCAGGGACTAAAGAGAGACCAAGCCTCAGAGTTCTCCCCAGCTATGCAAAGGAGGCTCACTTGTGATTAATTAAAGCAATAAAGTCACAAGAAATGATTTTCCTGAAACATTTTCCACCTTGAGTGCTGTAACCCGTGACCAAGGCCTTTGGACGTGCCAGCCAGGGGCCCACCGCCAAGAGCACCAATGCTCAGGCTCCCCCACTTACCACGACAGAGTCATTGTGAGTCAGGTCGACGACCACAGGCTCTAAAGATTCACAGGTGAGGTCCACTATTTCGTCTCCCGCTTCAAAATAAAGCGTTTTAACAAGTTTTAGAGGGAAAGTGAAGGCACACCGCTCAGTCTCATTAATGTGGTAACTAACAGGACACGGCCTATGCCAGACTAACACTCCTAAGGCACGGCAATGAAGGGGCGAGCAGTGCCCACCCCCGAGTCCTGCTCTGAACACCACCGCGCGGTTTAACCAACACCCCCCCTCCCCGTGGCGTCACGCTGCCACTGCTGGCCTCCACACCCCACCCCTGCTCATTCACAGCGGGGAGGCAGCGGGTCACCCAGGGTGGGTGGGGGTGCACAGCCAGGAAGGGACCGAGCGCGCTGGGCTTGGGCTTTGGGGCGGGTCTGTCTGAAAGCTTCGCTCCCCCAACCTCAGGTCAGGCTGTGCTCCACACGGCACAGGCTGTATTCTTCATCAGCTACATTTTAATCTCCATTTAGCCTGTCAAGCGCTTCACAACCTGGTTGGGCCACAACGGTTTACTCACTGGTCCCCCAAAACCCCAACTTGCCAAGAGAGGTTGAGCCTGCCCTGCAACTTGCCTTTGAGCCCAAGAGTACAGTGCATGTCTACCCACGCACGGGCCAAGTGGGAAGGATGTGTGCCAAACGGTTACCAGCACTGAGGTCTGGCAGTGCACAACCTCCATTTCTATAAACTGAAAGATTTATAACCATCTCTGTTTCTATTATTAGTAACATTAAAAAGTAGGAGGGAAGAAGTTCTAGAAATAATAGTTAATATTTGGGGAATGTGACTTGTAATACATTTAACATATTCAAATTTTTGTTCTCTTGGATTAAAAAGTTCACAGGAATAAAAACCGTAATATATCAAAGATTCCAACGTAAATTATACAAAATGATTTTTTTTTTTTAAAGAACGGTCCATAATGGATCTATCATAACTTACAGAACTGTTTCTCTTTCTGGTGAACACAATTTTGGGTTCTAACAATAAAAAATATGCCAAAGGGTAGCTTGTGCACGGAGTCCTGCACGTGGGTGTGGGGCTAACCGAGGACGGAAAATGCCACAGCAGAGAGCAGCGGGCCTCAGCCAGGCTGGAGAGCCTCAGCCCTTCGAGAAGCAGGTGTGGGCCGTGCGCCTGCTGGGGGGTGGGCAGGGGAAGCGGGGTGGCCCAGGGCTGCACAAGTCTGTCAGCAGTGAGGTCAGAGACCAGAGACAACGCGGAGGGCTTCACTCCCTGAAGGGCCAGGACACGGCCTCAGGTCGTCCGCTTCTCTCCAAGCGTCAGTTTTCACACCTCATAATTATAAAAGCGACCTGACTGTGTGCAGAGCACAGGACCTGACACAGGCCGTCCGCCCCTCCCCTGAGAGGGCAAGCGGAGGGGAAGAAGTCAACCTGCCTCTGCCCGCACCAAACGCCCTCCAACCCAGGAAGGTCTGTACACAGGTCTGCCTTCTGGGGCAACCGTTTGTCCTAATGAAGGAGAGAAGAAACCTGAGTACTTCCCGAGGCCAAGTAATTTGAGACACAACTTCAAAGAGAAAAGGTGGGCCCAGCAGTGTCCACACCCACACTGTGCAGCCTCACAGGGCGGCTGGTCAGGCCCGGGCAGCCCTGCCTCCCTCCGGCTCTCAGCTGGGACCGCGGAGTCTGACACCGTGGGTCTCACGAACAGTGACTGAGCGAAACCTCGCACAGTGCCATCTGCCAAGCACAGTTCCCAGTGTTCCATGTCACGGACGCATTTCAGAGCCAGAAGAGCTCTACAGAGCTACTGCGCACACACACACGCCATGATCCACACACACACACGCCATGATCCACACACACACACACACACACACACACACACACACACACACACACTCCATTATCCTCATATACACATACACACCCCTTAACCCCCATTTCAGATGAGGAAACTGAGGCCCACAGGTTGTGTAGCCTGCACCAGGCCGGTTGGCTGCCAACTGATGCCCAGGGTCGCTGGCAATCTTACCGCTTTCCACGAGCTCTATAGGTTCTGCCTCCAAGGCCATCTCAGGTGGGGAGGTGGTTTCCCGAGTTCGCTTCTGGGCTTGTCTAGAATTTACTGTCCCACCACGACGCTTTCTCTGAGGGTTTCCAAGGGAAAAGAAACAGTTAAATAGCTTCTGACCAGTAAGATTTCAGTTAGGAAAATAAAAAAACTTCTGTTATACAGACTGTTAGTCCATCAAAAGTATGTGACATATAACTCTATGGAGGCCTCTGGTCCAGGTTTGAATTAGACCAGAAACCCCTTCTTCTAACCAAAGGTTACAGACCTATTTCCCTTGGATTTGTATTTGACCCCCCTGAGCACTTTCTGTCTTTCAGCCCAAGACCTTCAGTTTCCCAAATTTCTATTCCCTGTTAAAAGCAGGTCTTTTTTTGGGAAAGGGTTCTGGCCTCTAAATTTTTAGAATACTATCAAGTTGTAGTTTACACCCTAATAACCACTCCCCACAGCTCCAAGAACCAAAGTTTTTATTTTTTCTTGCAATGAGAATCTAAAAACATTTTTTATTGGAGTATAGTTGACTTACAGTGTTGTGTTAATTTCTGCTATACAAAGTAAATCACTTATGTGTGTATCTTTTTAAGATTCTTTCCCCACACAGGCCATCACAGAGCACGAGGGAGAGCTCTTTATGCTACACAAGAACCAGCTTTAGTTCCTAGGGGCTTCCAGAGACACGCCTCTGGAAGGTCAGACTGTTCATCAGCATGTCTGCAGCTCAGACCCCGAGTCAGGCTTCCGAGTCCTCCAGCCGGGTGCCAACGCACTCCAGCACGTCTGGCCTGCCCACTGCGGTCTTCCTCCAGAGGCGAAGCCTCCACCTGACGTGGCTTTGTTACCACGCCCTGTGCGGCCCCGACCAACCCCACCTCCGTTTCAGCGCTCCTCCCTGCCGTGTCCCGCTCCTCAGTGGTACTGGGCCCACTCTGTCCACAGTGGGCGATACGGGCAGTCACTACCTACCAAGTCTACACCTCCTCACCAGCACCAGCCTCACCGAGCTCTCCTAAGGATGAGGCATACGCACAGTACCGAGCGCTGGCTGAGGATGCCACTACTGCACTATCGTGCCTCACCAGGCATCCTACGCTTGGGACACGCTGGCAGGACAGGCAAGCGTGCTCGGGACCTACACAGGACTGAGGAGTACCCCTCACCCAGGCCAGTCCTCGCTGGCAACAGAGAAGCCGCTTCTCTCCGTGTTCTGACCACTGCTCTCACCCAACGGCTGCCCGAGGAGCTGCCTCCCAGCCCCTGGGGGCCTGGAGGCCAGGGGCAGCAGCATGCTGAGCTCCGCAGCAGGGAGCCGCTCCGTCCCTCAGGCCAGAGGTGAGGCTACCGCCTGGTGTTTCTAAGTTTCCCCAGCAGCTACCAGATTATTTAAGGCTCTACCCCACTCTCTTTGAAGTTGTCCTGATAGCGTCCTTCCTTGGAAAAGGCCCAAGTCTTTCTCAGCAGACACTGCTGAACAGAACCGTTCAGCCCCCGCTGTGCGGCTCCTCCCAGGCAGGAAGCAGCAGGCACGGACCCTGGCCACAGTCTGGGTGCGGAACCCTAAAAACCCTCTCCTTTCATCATAGCAATGTGCCCTGCTAACCCGCACCTCAGCCCAACGACAGTCCTCTCCTCCGTCAGCCTCTCTCTGCCTGGGCCGCCCGCCCCTTCCCTCTTCACTGAGCCAGCTCTCACACAGCTTTGAGGGACCTTCCCGACTGGCGGCTCCACCACGGGGACCTCCCTCAAGCCCCCCTGCTGAGCACCTTGTGCCCCCGTCCCCCCCCACCCCAGAAGCCGCCTACGCTTCTACTCCTTTTCCTCTCCACCCTCGCGCCCCAGCGGCCAGGCTCCGACAGCCTAGAGTCTGAGGACGGCGCTGCCCCCGCCCGCCCGTGGTTCCCGTCCTGCCCTCCTGCCGCTCACCAGCAGAGCCCTCAGGGGGCCGCAGCCGGGTTAAAACCGACCTCATTCACACTGCCCCAAGGACAGTCTCTCACAAGGGGCCACACTGCTCTGTCCAGAGTGTGGCTTCCGAGGGGAGGTGCCCAGGTTTAGGAGGCTTCCCTGCAGATAAGGGACTGAGGTGGGAGATCACCTGGCCTTTAAAGGGCAGGTCCAGGGGCCTGGAATACAGTGGGGACTGCAGTGGTCAGAAGTGATGGACCAAGGGGAAGGAGCTGGGCCAGAACAAAATCTATAGGATTTCTACCACTCTTCACCCCAGGAGCTGACTGGTCAGCCTTATCCTACCCCCTGCCACCCCAACACCTCTAGAACCTGGAGAAAGGATGAGTCTCACAGCTGGTCCACCAGCTGGGAATGCTCTGTCTCAGAAAACAGCTGTTCTGAGTTTAGATCACATGCGCAGCATCGTTAGTAGGCAGTAAAGCGGGGAGGGGGACCGTCAAGCACTTTCTGGACTCAAGGGGCTCCCGGTGACATCTGGGTTACAACAAACCAGAGCTACCTCTGCCGTCTAAAACGGCAGTTACAGTGACCAACTCTGGCCACTGAGCCTGAGAGAACTCACCCAGGGTTATGATCACTGCCGACGCCGGCGTCAGATCAAGGACCACACAGGGGAAAGAAACAGAAGGGAAAACGGAACACTGGGCTGCAAATAATTAAATAAACCAGAGCCCTAATATTTCCAGGATGCTGGCAGCTGCTCTGAATGCACAAAATTTCAAACCCTTGGCCATCCTTCTCGGCCTTCTGTCTTTAGGGCATCAACCAAAACACTGGAAACTCTGACCAAAGGCAAGCAGGTTGCTGTAACTACTGAAAGGTCCTATACACACTCTTTTAGGAATGTGGGTTACTCAGAAGCACCTTTATGGTACTCTCATAATTGAGATACACAAGGAATGAAGTAGTTGTTTAGCCTTAAAAAACGGAATCCATGAACTTGTAAGACTCACCGTACTCATGGTGATCCTCGGTGCCAACCTACAGAGAAACACACACAGTCTAGACCAGGCCTGGGCTCAGCCTCTCATGCCTGCTGGTTGCTCATCTTCTGACTAGCACAGGGATCTGCACCCCAGGAGACTTCCAGAATCTTCAAGCCCTGGAAAATAAAGGTATCAAGTTGACAAATGCTGCACCTGTATTACTGACAAGAGAGTTCAGTTCAATCATCTACTGGTCCTTTCTGTCAGCTGCGCGCTTTGCTGAGCACTTTGCGCAATCACGTCCTAACCCACATCCTCCGTGGGAGATACACACCCTTGCAGAAGACAGGACCGCGTGACCCCACAGCCTGCAAGCAGGACCATGAGGTCACCCCTTGCCCTCCTGGCTGCTGAAACTCGCACAGATGCTCCTCGGCCCACGGCCCCCTCCCTGCCTGTCTGGACTCGCCCCCATGAGGCTAAGACGGGCTCTGGCCTTGTCAAAGTTGTACCCACCTCCCCCAGGCTGTGCCAGGAGACAAAATGCAAATGGCAGGGTGCCAGGCAGCTGCTGGTCACTGGGTGCCCAGCTCTAGTTAGGCCGTTCCAGGCAGCCTAATGGTGATGACCTGTGACCCACTGGGGGAGCAGGCAGAGGGGACAAAGCCCAGGTCTCTGTTACGAAAAGGAGAAATCCTGAACCCTTTTGCACAATCTGTGTGGACGCGGCTTGCTCACTCAAGCTTAGGAAAGCAGCTATTGCCCTATGACTCTGACTGTGAAAGGCTGGGGACACAGAGTTCCGGCCTCTCATTCACAGCTTCCTTGGATGCAGTGACCCTGCCTCACTGCACACGCTCTGAGGCTCCTGCCAACTGGGAGGGTGGGTGACGCTGAAGCCCCCTCCCTTCTTGAATCCTCTCTGGAGTAATCAAGAGATCAATAAACAAAAGGACCCCCCCAGACACACACACACAAAGACAAGAAACCCCTGCAGAGGCCTGTGCTAGCTTCTGGGAAGACAACAAAAACCAGAACTGCTCCATGTGATGGCACAATCCCAGGAAGGAAAGAGCCTCCGTCTCTCCCCACAACTGGGAACTGGGGCCTGCTGCAGGCGCCCATAATTCAGGGGAGGAGACAAGGGCTACCAACCCTGACCCACCCTGCGTGCCCAGCTGAGACTCTGCCACTGGCAACAGATGAGCGGAGAAGAACTAAGAAATTGTGGGTCGGGAAGCCAGGCAGGCTCCGGGAAGGGCAGAGAGCGCAGCAGGTGCGGAGGCTCCTGGAGAACGGGAGGCCCTTGGTTTGCTCAGGGCCCACGGAAGGTGGGGACTAACCGTGCAGATCTGAGTTCAGGAACGCAGTGGCAACACTTGGATCAGTGCCGCGCACTTTACAGGCTCACAGACCTGCTCTGCCAGCACAGCCATGCGGTCTCCGCCTGCACCGCCCACTGCGCAGCCCTAAGAGGCTGTGGATCACCGCACCCGACCCAGCTCCAACACGGACCCACGGGCTACACGTCCCCCCACATCATGCACTCATCAGCATGGCTCCTGTCCTGGGAATGCAGCAGTGAATACATCCAGCCACCAGCTCCTGTCTGGGGTGGGTGCCAGCAGACGGCTCAGGTGTTGCAATAACTGGGGCATACGAGCCCGGTGCAAGGGAAACCAAGAGGACCGGGAGAGGCCAGAGGTTCTCCAGGAGCAGCCCCACTGAGGGAGCGTCCAGCCAGCTGAGCCTTTCTCCAGCACCCGGCAGTCTGCATCCAGGCATGCCACCGCCTGCATTATCCGCTCAGACCCAAGCAGTTTATCTTTCATCAGCAGTAACTGCTGTACATCAGCGTCAGCCGAATGCATGCACATCCCTCCCTCAAGCCGCCCTGGCTCCATGAGTGCCGCACAGTCTCTTCGCTGTCTCCCTCTCTCCAAGGAGGCTCGCGACTGGCCTACAGCATGACCTCACCTGACACCCTCAGGCCGGCCCGGGGTGCCCTCAACCAAAGCAGAGATGAAGACAGTCCACCTGGTGAGCACGGGAGGTGGCGGCACCTCCACAGCCCCTGGGGACTCACAAGACCAGATCACATGTGGTTCTAGAGCCACCGGGCTTCCTGGATCCTAATCCAGAACTCATCATCCCAGCAGTCTCTCAGAATTGAGAAGAATCTGATACAAATGTCACTGACAGTGACCTGTCTGCTGAGCACAAGGAAATAATTTAATGCACAAACCTTGGCTGCTCCAAAGCCTCTTGCCTCCTCCTTGTTTTAAGTTTTAGGTTTTCAAACACGGTGGCTCCAGACGCATCCGGGAGCTGTGCCAGAGGGTTCCCCGCTCCCCGGTGAGCACACCCTCCCCAACTCCCTGCCACCCGCCCGCAGCCCCAGGCTCTGCCATACCCTCCCACGCCCCAAGCCAACCCAACAGCTTGTTCCTCTCCTTTAGGGGATAATCAAGGTCAGCGGTCAGAGGGCAGAAAAGGGTGGAAGGCCAGCCTCAGGGAAATCTGCCAAGGGGCTGGATTCCACCAGAGTGTGGAGGTGGGGAGACCCGGGGTTGGGGGAGGGCCTCCCCAGCAGGCCCGTTTGCGAACATGGAAGTGCGGTGTGTGGACAGAGAGGCCAGCGGAGTGTGGGAAAGATGGCCCTCACCAACTACAAAGCGTTCTGGGTCATGCAGGTAATAGAAGCCACTAGAATAGTGAAACTAACAATAGCTCAAACTTAGAGGTCACTTCTGTGTGCAAGACACTAAAGCGCCTTCCACACACCATCGTGTATGATCCTCCTCTCGCCCAACAAGGAGGCAGACACTATCATGGTGACCATTTCACACGCAAGGGAGCTAAGAATGATCAGGGGTTAAGTAACTTGCCCATAGTCCACACCTAGTAAACACCAAGTCTGGATTTAAACCAGGGCAGTTTGACACCAGGACACCCAGTCTTAAAAACACAAATACAAGCCAGAATCAGATGTATTAATTCTAGAAACAAATATGGGCGTTTTCCAGGTTTCTCAAACTTAAGTGTCCAGGAACTCCTTCCAACATGCCAGCACTCCATCTCAGCAACATCCCCCCACCGTGGTTTCCAAGGCAAACTGTGCAGTTATTCAGCATGCCTCACCTGAAGAAGTGCCAGAGGTCAGAGAACTCTGTCCACTTTGCACCTAGCTAATCCTTTGCCCAAAGGAGATGTTCTTGGTTACTGAAGCAGTGAGTGGCTCAGAAGTGAGAGAGGGTGGTTAATGTTGTCCCTGCCACTAAGAAAAGACCAGGAGTAGAGGGTGGCACTGGGAATGGTCAAGAAGGCCAGATGCCAGGACCCCCTAACGCTCTGACAGGAAGGTGAGGGAAGACCAGCCCTCGCGAGGTTATCTATCTGGCTATTCCATGGGAGTGACGCCACAGAACCGGGCTAGGGAAGGGATAAACAAGGCAGACACCTTAGTTTTAGAAATGCTGCACGTGGATATCCAAGGAGAAAGGTCCAAAGGCAGCTGAAAAACCCAGGAGAGAGAACTAGGGTGGAGGTAGAGGTTTTAGAATCTGTGTTACAATTTGGGAAGTCAGGTAGAAAAAAAACCAAAAACCCTGAAAAGAGAATCACAAGGCAGAAAGACAGTGTGGAAAACTTGGCTATCAGTTAGACAAAAGCGGGCATTTCCAGGAGAAGCAGTAAACAGGCAGACCTAGAATGAGGCCAGGGAGCTGGCCACAGGGAGCTGATCATGGATGACCAAGCAAGTGGAGGCCCAAACTGTTAGAGAGGGCCAAACTGGGCTGCCTGGAGGAAGTGACACTGAAGATGAGGCCCCTAGTGATGGAGCTATTCAACCAACACATCGGGGGGCAGGGCCATCCAAGGGGAAGAGAGGATCTGCCCGAGATGTGCAGCGTGCTGTGTGGGAGCCCTGAGGCCCACACGTCTCCCAGGACAGGGCAGGCAGGGGTTCATGCAGAGACGGCACCACCTGTGTGAGGATGCCTGTGAGCGCCTGGACCAGTCAGAACACAGATCCGTATGGAGGCGTGCAGTAACCCAGGCAGAAGAAAGCTGTGTGGCTTGGAGACAGTGGCAAGTGTGGAGAGAAGTGAGACCACCAACTGGATGGCGGTGGGGAGGTGCGAAGGTTAGTACCTTCAGCGTTCTCACAAGTTTAACGGTCTACTCAATCATGACGTTATTGCCAGAGGTTGATTTTTTTCCCAGGAGGCTACTAAGGACACAAAAGATGACCCCCCAACGCTAGCAGGGGTGACACACGATCATATGTATGTAACGCCTCTGTGCATTTGATTACATGCGAATGTCTACATGCATCATGGCTAGAAACTGTTGGGCAGTGTTGACTGCAGCTGGATCCTGTGGTCTTATTGTCCCAGGAGCCAAGAAAGGAGGGATCAGCAGAAAGGGGGTGGGGAGGGGGTGTGCCAGAAAACCCGGGAGCTGCAGGGCCCCAGGGAGCTGTCTGGGCGGGGCGCTCGGCCCAGCCGGGGCCCGCGGCCGGCCCACAGGACCCCCAGCCCCCGGGCAGGCGAGGCTGCTGCGACCTGGGCTCCACAGTGGCCACTGGTGTGTGGCCACCCGGAGACGCGGAGCAGCCACCTCGGGTCACGCACTCCCCGTGTGGCAGTTACAGAGCGGATCTCTGTCAACTCAGAAGCTATTCTGAGACAGGAGCAGAGTGAGTCTGACTCAATGCTGGCACGGTAAAAGCAGAGAAGCTTCCACCTACAGAGTCTCATCAATGCGAGGCCGATTTATCAGCAACTGATTAGGCACCAAGGCCTTGGCTAGTACCAACGGTCTAGGTCACATGTTTTTAAAATTTATTTAAATTTTGCAGCCAGCCTTGCAGCTGGTGAGATCTTAGTTCCCCGTCAGGGATCAAAGCCGGGCACTCGGCAGTGAGAGCGCGGAGTCCTAACCGCGGGAGAACTGGTGAGTCCTCGCCAAAGTTTTTTAAGTGAACACTGATGTCACCGTCACATCAATGACCAGGCCTCAGAACTTAAGAAAAACTAAGAGCTTCCTGCTTATACAAAGGAGGGTGCACTGTATAGACAGCAATCATGAGACTGGCCAAATGAGCCCCAGAGCCCTGCACACACACTTGACCTCCACGCCTGAGTTTTACCATCTTCCATGTGGGAAAAATAGCCCCTACCTCGCAGCTGTGATACTGAATCAAAGTGCCCAGTAGGTTCCAGCACCCTGTAAGGAATCCTACCAGTTGAGTTAATTCAACAATTCCGTGCATGGGGCTTACTCTGAGTCAGGCACTGCTTCAGGGATTGGAAATACAATGGTGAACAAAACAGACACTCATGGAGCATACATTCTAAGCGGAAAGACAATCAATAAATTAAGTAATAAATAGGTATTAAATCAGAAAGGCCAGTAACCACAGCTCTTCTTACAAGTGTGAGTGCTACTAGATGAGAGCAAAGCAAACTTTCCACCCCAGAAGGAACTGGAACAAACATTTCTGCCCTCAGCAAGCTCAATTCACTTCCAGAAGGGACTTGGCAGGACATGGCTGATCACCCCTGCCCAGGCGGACAGGAAGCTGGAGAGCCGGCAGGGGGGCGCGGGGCAGCCCCCTCCCAGTTACTGATGCCTGAAGGAGGCCCAGCAGCCCACCCCCCCATCTCCCGAGGCTCCACAGGGACTAGACTCTCGGCAAAGACAGAGAGCAGCTGACTGTGCCTGGAGACACACAACTGGGTCTGTTACACATTTACTGTGTGACCCTGACCAAGCCAGTCAGTCTCAGAGGACTGAAAGGGGCACCAGGGGACTTCACACCTGCTCAGTGATTTGTCACTCAAGGAAATTTTCCCCTTTCCTCCAAACAAAGGACCCGATGAGGATTGTTTTTGCTTCTACTAGAGAAAAAGAACAACTCTTTGGGTAAAGAGATGTTCTACTTTTGTTTACAATCTGGCCTTGAGGTTCAAGGGCCCAGAATTAAGAATGAACTTCAGTTTTCTGAAAATCAGTTAAAAAAAGAAAAATAAAGTACAAAGTATTATTCAGCCTTAAGAAAAAGAACCCTGAAGACATTATGCTTAGTGAAGACAGACACAAAAGGGTAAATACTGTGCAATTCCTCTTACATGAAGTCCCAAGACATCAAATTCAGAGACAGAAAGTAGAATGGTAATTGTCAGAGGCTGGGGGAGGTGGGGCACAAGGAGTTTTACTTTAATGAATACAGAGTTGCTGCCTGGGAGGATGCAAAAGGTTCTGGAGATAGACGGTGAGGGCGGCACAACAAGGTGGATTTACTTAATACCACCGAACACCTACAAGTGGTTCAGACGGTCTATTTTACATTATGTGTATTTTACCACAACACAAAAATTAAAAAATAAACTTCATCTTCCTTTTCTTTCCTGGATACTTTTAAAAGGAGTTAATCGAGTATTCAGAAATGCTCTGCCGTGGGTAAAGCTGAGAAACATTTGTAAGTGCAGGAGGACCCTCAGTCTCCTCCAAGCTCTGGGACCTCCAAAACATACCTATGACTCTAACATCACCAGAGTACTGGCTCACCCTCTTCTCGATGAAGCTCTTCTCAGGAATTTTTCCACAGCTTCACATGCAGGGTTAAGACAAATCCCCCTCCCCCCAAACATTAGGCTGACCCTTTGTCAGTGAAAGCCCTGGAGCCTGGCGGGGAGGGGGCACCTCAATTCTCCAAAGCCATTATCTCCCAAGGTTGTATCGGTAATAGGTTTGGAAGGTTTTCACAAGTGGGAAGGATATCAACAGACACCAAGTTCAACCAATTAATGTTGGAAGAAGTTGCCTACTTGGCCCTGCGACCACTCCTTCGCAGGTTTCTCTGGGATACACAGAAGCACAGCTCGGTGGCTGCCCCACCCCGACCCCATAACTAACTTCTCATTTTCCTTCAGTCATCCTGGCCTGGGCTGGGGGCGGGGGAGGGGTGCAGCAGGGAGGGGAGGGGTGCGGGGGCTCGTGATATTAATACAAACAAAGGTATTGCAGGGGGTCAGGAGCAAGAGAAATATAATAAAGGAAACCTCAGGATCCATTTCCACCAGAGGCTGAAAACATACCAGAGGCCAAAAAGACAGACCCTAAAACTCCCAGGAAGGAGGCATGCTAGGCTTGTGCGGACGGCACCACACAAAGCTAGGAATCTTTGCGCTTCCGCTAAACCACGAACTGGGGTGGGCTGAGGGGGTGCATGTGTGTGGACTAAGCCAGGCAGGCCAAGGTGCAGACTGTGGTGGTGGCCGGGGGCGTCAGCAGCTCATAGATGCGGCTCTCTGGCTTTCACCTACAGCAGGCAACAGCCCAGCGGTGCCCCCCAGAGAGAATCCCTCCATTTGCATATGAGGGGAAAGAAACCAGAAACAAAGGGAAGGTGCTCAGTCGTGTCTGACTCCGTGCAGCCCCATGGACTGTAGCCCGCCAGGCTCCCCTGCCCACGGGATTTTCCAGCCAAGAGTACTGGAGTGGGTAGCCATTTCCTTCTCCAGGGCATCTTCCCGCCCGGGGGATGGAACCAGGTCTCCCACGCTGCAGGCAGAGGCTTCCCCGTCTGAGCCACCAGGGACGCCCTGAGCGGGGAGCTGGTCTCAAGCAGCGCTGCCCCAGGGCTCCTCAGCCGAGCAGTGGCCTTCTACTCAGGCAGACCCACACGCGGGCTGGCAAAGGCCGCACACATGCCATCACCAAGTGGCAAGCCAAACCCAATGCTTTCAAGACACTCGTCTTGGTGGTGGAATCCAGATCCTCTCCAACTCTCTTCCTCGGAAGTAAAATAAGTCAATGGTCCTTGTCTCCCAGGACAGCAAGCACCTGTTACAAAGGGAACGTTGGGGATATTCTAAAGACAAAGCAGCAAAGCAGGAGGAAGAACCTTCAGTGGCCAGAGAAGCCAAAGCTTTAAATGGGAGCTCAGAAACCGCTGCCAGACTCCAAGGGACCCAAGGACATGACAAATGTCCCCAGAAGACCGCACCCACTGCCTTCATGTGTATAACCAACCACTAAGCGGTCTGGACTCGCTTGCAGTGACAGACACAGGTCTTCCTGAAAATCACCATACAATATAAAAGGTGTATAGACTTTTTGGGTAAAAGTGGAATTAGGGGTACAACACTCCAAAATTTGGACAATTTCACACACATACACAGTAAGAACCTAAAAAAAGCGATAGTATGGTTAAACAAATTAAATGGTTAAGAAATACCCATATACCATAACAGCCGTGGCACCTGACCAAGTCCGTGGCCTGTGAGTTACTGGGAAATAGGGTGCTGTGACACCCGATGTGCAGAGGGTACGGCTCGGACACACAGTGAACTGATACATCTGATAGGTGCCTGAGGCGGAGATGGTCTTTGTGGCTTGGTTCAGCTGAGTTCAACTTTCTTTGTGAAATTATACACACTAAACTCAACAGCCCCATTATATTCAACCTGTTTCGTAAAATATCAATCCTGCTGGAATTAATCCTTGCTTCCGAACAACTGGTGAGAGCAGAATTGAGTAAAATCAATTATATTTGAATGCACTGATCTAAAACAAACCAACAGAGGACTGACTGTGCCTCACTTCGGGTACTGCGGATGCCAGTCCCAGCACTGTAATCTGATATACGCGGTTACCTCGCCTGCGAGGGTCTCCGACCCCATCCCACCTTGGAGAACTGCTCATTCTTCTAGGTCGACCTCAAAGAAACGTTAAGTACATCTCTATCACTCCTCATCCTCTGTTGTTTCTGTGGTACTCCATCTGCTAAACATAACTATGTCAAAACCCATCAGAGTATGCCCTCTTCTTTGAACAGCACTTGGCACAAAACGATTTTTTTCCCCCATTGAAATTAAATTACCAACCTCATGAGACACTTGAAAGAGATGAAAGAGATGGCAGATTCTTCAAGACGGCACAGAGTGTTCTAAGGTGGGGAAAAAAGATGGGGAAATGGAGCCTTATTACACTGCAAATAAAAATGCAGTCACCATCAGGAAACAAAGGAACATTTAAAACCAGAAGACCATCATGGGAGAACAGGACACAACATCTCTATCTGAAGCATTTTCAACTTGAAAAAAAGAGGCCACAACCTTATGTTTTCAAATGTTAGTTAAGAATTGAAAAATGTCAAGAAGGTGTTCAGAAAAGCAGCAAACTTTATATTGGTCCGCTATAGCAAGCAGCAGAATTCAGCAACGGTTTGGTCAAAGTGAGAAGCGGGGTGCAGCAGACAGGACAACGCCCAGGCCGTGAGCCCGCTTTCTTGGGGGAGGGGTCGTTCCGGAACGCAATTACTGAAATTAGGTTTCTCGAGAATGTTTGTAATTAGACCCTTTCTGGGTGAACCTTTCTTGAAAAAGAAATGTGACAATAAACACTAACAAAGTCCAGCAAAAGGAACAAAGACATTGGGGCCTGAGGTTCAGATGCTAGGTCCGCTTACTAATTGTATGACCTTGGGTAAGTGACTCTGTTCCGCCCATGCTTCAGGACACAAGATGGAGCTAACTCAAACTACCGGGCAGGGTGGATTTTTTAGCGGTGGAGACCCCTGAACAGCAGACGTGATTATGACATCACAAACCCAGAGCAGCCCCTAGAGACATCTGAGTCACACCCCTGCTGCTGGAAACCACGACTCCAAGGACTTCACTGAGGTCCAGTGGCTAAGCTTCCCAGCTCCCAGTGCAGGGGCCCCGGATCTGATCCTTGATCAGCAAACTGGGTCCCACATGCCCCGACTGCAAGAGTTCACATGCAGCAGTGAAGACTAAAGACCCCCTCGGCCACAACCAAGATCCGGTGCAGTCACATAAACAAACACCAAAAAGAAAAAAATATAATTCCCAAACAAAATGGCATTAACAGGTAATAACGCCATTCAGGAGCTATCCTTTCATTTTAAATTTGTGTATGAGCCCACCTACTCAGCAGCCGGAGGCACTCTGCTGTTACGGCCCCCTACTGGGCACGGCAGGAAACCAGTGGTTTCTGGACAACAGGAAAGCCGGATGGCCACTGCTCTTTTGCACAAGCAGGCTACTGATAATACTCATTCTGGAACGTTCCCAAGCCTTTCCTTCTCTTCACAAGGAGGCATTCAATAAACCTGCCAAGACTTACTTATGCCTGGGGGGGGGGATAAAAACAAAACCCTTCCAAAGAAAATTCCCCATCCCTGTGGAGTGGCACCCTCCATCCTAACCCTACGTTTACTCACACTTGACCTGTAACCCTGGGGTGAGGCAGAATCTGTGCTCTGGGCCTTCCTCTTTAGACAGGAAACCTCAAAATGCCTTGCTCTAAAATTCCCAAAGTTCTTCTAAGAAACAAGCTATTGAGGAAAGATAAGTCAGAAAAGCACATATGATTCATATCTCACTCAACAACGTCAACCTTGTAATATTCTACAGGAGCCACCTTGAGCCACCTTATCCCTCAAAAATCCCTAATTTGGGGAAAGTGAAAAGTGTACATAAATCATTCCAAAATAAGACATGGGTAACATATACACAGGAACACATAACACATACAAACCAACCAACTTGTGCACATATTTTCATCAAGCAGCACCCCAAGTCTTTCCCAGAAATTGGCATGGGTATAACCTCCCAGACACAGACTTTGCTAAAAGCTTTTAAGTAAAAAGTCAGTAAAGAACTTCTGTGACTGGCATCACCAAGTTCAGTGACTGGTCCCTGTGTGTGTGCACGCTCAGTCGTGTCTGACTCTTTGCAACTCCATAGGCTATGGCCCGCCAGGTTCCTCCATCCATGGAATTTTCCAGGCAAGAATACTGGAGTGGGATGCCATTTCCTTCTCCAGGGCATCTTCCTGATCTAAGAATCAAACCCAAGTGTCTTGCATCTCTTGCATTGGCAGACGGATTCTTGACCACTTGCACCACCTGGGAACACCCCTAGTCACTACCCTGGCCCAAGCTACCCTTCTCTCTTTTCCTAACTGGTCCTGAAGCAACTAGTTTTGTCCACCTTTCTAACCATCCTTCGCATAGAACAGTGGTTTTTCTAAAACGCAAATCTAACCCTGTTAAGTTCCCTCTTTAGAACTCAATTTAGTGATTTCCCACTTGGTCTTAATATAAATCCTGAATTCCCCATTGTGGAGGTGCACCACAGACCTTCTGTATTCTAGTTCCTGCTACCTCTCCAGCCCCATTTGATGTGTCAACCTTGGGGAATACCCCTCATTCTCTCCACTCTGGCTCCTCAACTCCACCAGGGCCTGTATCACGCCTATTTTAGTCCAAGCAAAAGCTTGGCACACAGAAGACCTCAAAATGTGATGACTTAAAATATTAATGTATGAATTCTTAAAGGGGGGGGAAAGCCCCTTCTTTTTATGTGCAAATCATAAACATGCATATAGCTCATAAAAAGAGCCTACAGTAGGAAGGCAGCATTAACATTCTGCAGCGGACAATTGTTTGGTGAGAACGATTAGAAAAACAATGTGTAAAAAAGGCTGGGGATGGAGGGGAGTCATGAATGTGAAAGGTTTACAAACACTCCACTAAAGCAAGATCTGAGTCCAAATTGGAAGCTCAAGTTCAGGCCATACAGATCATAGCACTGTTCGAATGCTCTCAAACTCATAGGGGAAACCACCCCAACCCCTCAAAAAACAAACCACCAGAAAAACAAAGCCAAACGATTCCCTTCAACTTTTCTATCTTTCATAACAGTGGGCCCCCAAGCTACTGGTCACTGAGTTCAAAGGTCTAGTTCTGCAGGCAGAGAACCGAGGCTGTGACCTTGGGCAGACCGCTTCAGTCTTCCCAGCCACTAAGGCACAGAGGGCAGGACCACAGAGGTGGAGACCCCAGGTCTGGTTCCAAGAAAAGTGGCGCAGAAGGAAGGTATGGCCGTGACAGTCGACGGGCAGGGGGCTGGAGTTACACAAAAGCCAACACCCCAAGAAAACGCCTACCAAGGCTCTGAACTCTTCCCTTTTCCCTCGACGGGTCAAGACGTGAAAAGCGGCCTGCGCCGAGTCCTGGGCTTCAGGCACCTGTTTCCAGGCGCCCGCCGCAGGCTCGGCCGCAGGCCTCGGCGGCCACGCGTCCGGCCAGCGCGCGGAGCCTAAAGACCCGCTGAGCTCTGCCCACCCCCTCCCCGCCTCAAGCGTGCCAGCCCCGGCCCAGCCTGGAGGCGGCTCCGCCCGGCGGCCCGGCTGACTCGCCAGCCCGCGGCGGCGGCGGCGCGAGCACACAAAGGCGGCGGCCTCGGCGGGGACGAAACCTTCGCCCGGCCTCCCCGCACGCCCGCGCCGGCCCGCGAGCGGCGCCCCTCCCGGCTTTCCCGGTGACCTTGGACGCGCCCCTCCCCGCCCCGCCGCCTCAGTTTCCCCGGCGAAGCTAAGACCGGGGCGCCCAGGCTGCGGCCTGCCAGGGGCGGCCGACACCCACGGCGAGGCCTCCCCACTTCCGCGCCCGCGCCGGGCTCCTGCGGCCCCCGCGCGGGGCCCTGGGAGAGGTTTTCGGCCGTGGGTCGGGGCCCGAGCGGGGTCGGCCGCGCCCCGGCGGCTCCTCGGGACGCGGCGCCGAGGCCTCCTCAGGCCGCGCGAGGCCACAAAAACCCCCCGAACCCGCTCGGCGCTGGCTTGCCGCCCGCCCCCCTCCCCCCGCGAAGCCGAGCCCTGCCTGGCACCGAGGAGGCTCAGCGGGCGCTGGGGTCGACGCACTCGAGCGAGGGAAGCACCTCCGCGAGCCGCTTCAGAGAAGACCTCTAGCAGACGACGACGCCGACGACGCCGCCGCCGCCGCCTCAGCACCGACCCACTTCCTCTCCGGGGGCCTCGGCCCCGCCCCCGCGCCTCCCTACTGGCCGCCGTCGTCCCTAACTCCCGCCGTCCGCCCGTGGAGGGGGCTCTATTTTCAACCCTATTGGATAAGAAAACCATCTATCACCACTTTGAAACGCGCCTTGCTTCCGGCCCCGCCCACGCCCGCGAACTCAAAAAAGCTCCTACCTTCCCGCGAGAGGAGCGGCCGGCGCCTCTCGGCGCGCAAGGCCTCCCGGGAGTCGTGGTCCCGGCTGGAACACGCCCCTCTCTCGGCCTAGGTTCCCTGGGATCTGCGTCGCCTCCAGTCTGGCCTCCTGGCCGCGCCAGGCCCTGGACCCGAGCGCGGCTGGTCCCCGCGATCCCGGGCCTTTACAGGGCTGCTGGCGGAGATGGGACGGAGGGAGGAAGCACAGACTGGCCCATCTGCGGGAAGCCGGGGGAGGCACTCAACCGGGCCGTCTGGGAGGGATCCCCGGAGGGAGCTAGCTGAGCATCCAAAGGACTAGAATGAAGGAGAGCAGTTCCAGGAAAAGGGGGTCTGGGTGGGCAAATGTGGGCACGCATGACCAGAGAGCTGAAGGCTGCCCAGTATGCCAGGGTGCAGGGGTTGGGAGCAACGGGGGTCGCGGGAGGCAAGAGGCAGACCTTGGAGGGTCCGGATGTCAGGCTGAGAGTCTTGATTATTCTGAAAGCTGTAGGTGTCAGGAAAGGGCTGAGACGGAGGAGAACTCCCGCCGGCTTCCGGCCCAGCCAGGTCCTGGGAAAGCGGGCTGGAGGTCTCCTGGAGTCAGAGTGTGGACCCTGGATCGCTCCTGCCTGAGTTTGAATCCCAGCTCCAGGGTTCAGGCAGGTCTCAAGGTTCCCTGGCCTGTTGTATGGAGAAGACATGGGTGCCTATCTCAGGGGGTCCTAAGACCCAACTCTGAGGAAAGGTGCGTGCCAGCCCTGGTGGGGCTGCATGTCAGAATGGGGATTCGAGAGCCTGGTGGTGGCTTCCCTGAGTTTAGCTCCCAGAACTGGGCCTGGGCATGGATTTGGCAACCAGAATAGAGCCCAGCTTGTCTCTCTTGTTCTGAGAATACCAGATCACCCCAATAGGACCATGCCACCCGGGACAGGCCCACACTGTGGCCAGGTGAAGAACTAGAGGGACCTCCAAGGCCACCTGAGGTCCAGGCTGTCACCTGGCACACGGCCACTCCTCCTGGACCCTATGGGCCAAAGCAAGTCAGCTCAGATTCAAGGACGGGGGAAGATGAAACTCTGCCTCCTGATGGGAAGTTATAAGGCAAGGAACATGTTGCCATCTGTTTACCCCACAAGACAGGCCCTCAGGTCATAAACTCAGGAGATGGCCCGAGAGCTGCCTTGCAGGTTCCACGGGGTCTATATGAACAGAAGCCCCAGGTTCTCTCAAGGTGCTCTGAGCAGCCGCCCAGTCCAGGAGGGCAGGTGGGTACCCTGTGGACTACCAACCAGCATCACTCCCAATAGCACCCTGAGTTTGCTGGGCCACCACTTCTCCCCCTGCTCCAGAGGCCAGTGGGACAGGTGAGGGGAAATTCTCTGCCTTTGTCACAGGGCCTGCTTTGGGCCCCCATACAGACCTTCCCTCACTGCAGGAACTTGTTCAGCAGAGCACGTTCAATCCAATGAGGCTAGAGCTCAAGGCTTGGAGGACAGAGAGGTTTCCCTCCTAAGAGAGCTGCCAGGGAGAGACGGCCCTTCCTCCAGACGCTGTGAGATTGGAACTGCTGCCAGCTTGGAGTCGGAGCTCTTGGACCAGGCGTGGCCTGAAGTCGGCCCTGCCTTTGAATCGCCGGTTACAGAAGGTGACAATTCCCCTTTTCGGAGCCATCTGCGCTCCTGATCATCATTAGTGTGTTCCCTCGATATCAAATGAAATGGGTTTGAATCACTCAACAAAGGATGTAAGAAATGCCATCTTTTTAAAAGAATGAAATTTAATCTGCTCCCAGCTCTAATTTGACAGGGAGGTGGGAGATTCCTCTTTCTACTAGCCTCGGTTGCGGGGCAGTCCTGAGGTTCTGACACAGTTGAGAATGTTGGGGGAGAACTCTGGTCTTTAGTCTGTTCCTGTCACTTTCGGATGTCCACCCTTCTGGTCTGGATATGCCCTGGGGTCCTGCCTCCCCGCTCTGAGGTGCCCTCTTCTCCGCAGGCCCAAGGAGGATGTGAGTATGGGGTCCCTCTCCTGGACATCCGTCCCCTGGCATTGTTCAGCCCCTGCCCTACTGCCTGGCACCCCACTGGCTTGCCCATCCTCTCCCAGGACCCGCAGCACACTGCGCAGTCTTCACTCAGCCAGCTGGTCCTCAGCCACGCACCTGCAGCCCAGGCCCGGGTCTGAGGACCAGGGGAATCAATATGTTCCTGTCCAGGCCCTGGGCCAGGGCGCCTGCCCAGTGGCTCCAACCTCATTCCTTCCATTAGGCTGGGGAAGGCGGGGCCCTACTCTAAAGGCCTCCAGGCCTAGCTTTGGGTCCCAGGGGTCCGAGCAGTTCACTTCACCTCTCAGAGCACTGGCGGTCTCATCAGCAGAAGGGGCATAGGGGACAGTCCCCCAACCCCACTGAGGTTTAGGAGATCAGGCACGAGAAAGACCAGCTGGCAGTGACTCAGTATCCTGGCCAGCTCTGTTTGCGCCCGCACAACCACACACTGAGTCTTGGGGGTTCCCGGATTAGGCCACCTAAGTCCGGGCGGAGAACGGAGATTCCAGGCTTCCACGGGCACTGCGGGCTCCGGGAACTCGGGCGCGGGCGTGGGGAAGGGCAAGGATCTGGACCAGGGTGGCCATGTTTAGCACATTAGATACAAGACGCCCCAATAAAACTGAATTCCAGCGGATACTTTCTTAGCATGTTTGTCCCACGCAATAACTGGGCGTCCCGCCTTTTATTTGGCACCCCTGCTCTGGGCGAGCGGAGGCTAGTGGAACAGGGCAGGCGGCACGGCCCCGCGGTCTTCATTCGGGCTGGGGTCTCGGGATCCTGGGTGGGGGCGAGGGGAGGCCGCACGGCTCAGGCGGCCCCCAGGCGGCGCGCGGGTCCGCATCCGGGTTGCTGCGCCCGCAGCCAGCGCTCGCGGCTCCGCTCCAGCTCCAGCCTGCGCTGCGCCTCCAGCTGCGCCTGCGGGCGGGCGGTGGAGGTCGGCGCGCGGCGCTCCCCGGCAGCCGGACGCGGCTTCCCGGCGCGACCCCCCACCCCCCACCCCGTACCTCGCGTCCCGCGCCGGCGTCCCCGACCCCCGCGCGGCGCGCCCTCGCGGCCGCCCCTGGGCTCACCCGCTGCTTGGGGCGCATGGCCCGCGGCGCCGGCACGTGCCCCGAGGCCGCCCGCGCGCGCCGCTCGGCGGCCTTCTCCTGGATCCGGCGCTGCAGCTCGAGCACACGCTCGTCCTGGGAGGGCGCTCCGGCGGCTGCCCACCGCGCCTTCTTCTCCTCCCACCTGGGTGGGCGGAGGGGCCGGCTTAGCAGGGCCCCGCCGCGGTGGACCAGAGGGATTTAGGTGCCAGGGGAGAGCCCCCCTACACATCCCCGGGGAACCACCCCGGGAGGGTTCTCCTCGGCGCCTCTTGTCTTTTTGCTCCTTGTATTTCACAGTTGAAAGAGTATTCCACAGGTTTGCTTATGCACGTTTTCGGGGATGAGAAAAGCCACCGCCCTTTCATCTTACCCTGCCTTCCCCGCTCTTGCCTAAAGATTACCGCTGCTAATACTCCGCTGTCTGTGCACATCTTTCCATACCAGGCCCCATGGGCCCGAAAAGTCACCACAGTGTTCCCAAAACAAAAAAGGGTGTGTGTGTGTCCATGTGCTTTCCATTGAAAGAGATGTTTGCCAACCAGATGCTACGTGTGACCCACCCCCCTCCACCTGCCTCAGGTCCTAGTTTAAAAAGAAAAAAGTTATAGTACTCGATCTTTTCAAGCTATAGTGAACAGTTTTGGGATCCTTGGAGAGAGGTGACCAGGGACAGGGTATTTAGATGGTGCTGGGAGTCTCTGTTCGTTTCTAGCTGTGTCATTGTGCTGTGGTTATGTAGGGCTGTGTTTTTTCTCAGAAGATGCACACCAGAGCATTTATGAATGAAATGTCCAAAACCTGCATGGGCTTCCCTGGCAGCTCAGCTCCCAGTTCGATTCTTGGGCTGGGAAGATTCCCCTGGAGAAGGGATAGGCCACCCACTCCATTATTCATGGGCTTCCCTGGGGGCTCAGATAGTAAGGAATCCGCCTGCAATGCGGGAGACCTGGGTTCCATCCCTGGGTTGAGAAGATCCCCTGGAGGAGGGAAAGGCTACCCACTCCAGTATTCTTGCCTGGAGAATCCCCATGGACAGAGGAGCCTACAGTCCAGTGGCAAAGAGCCAGACACGGCTGAGTGACTAAGCACACACTTCCCAACTTCTGCACAAACCCATTAAGTAGGTGGCTTGCTATTAATAGATGAAGCGCAGGGCTAACGGGTGTGGCCCGGCTTATCTGAGCGTCACCGCAGGCTTTTTTCCCACCCTTTCTGAAGGCTAAGACTTGTCTAAGAAAACAGTTGGGTGGGGGGAAGAGATTGCAAGGGAACTGACTGGAGGGTGGTGGGTGGCTGTGAGGAAAACCCCCGGGGGGAGGGGGGAAAGGCAGGCTCCCTACTCCTGGCCCGCTCAGGTTGCCCGCTGCGGGGTCGCCGGCACCCACCTCAGGGCTGCAGACCTCCCCATGGCAGCGCGGCACAGCACCACCTGCTCCAGCGTGTCCCGCAGCTCCTGGCTCTTGGCGCGCTTGCCCTGGATGATCTGGTCTCGCCGCTCCTCCTCCTGGCGGCGCCGGGTCTCCTTGAGGAGGGCCAGCCGCTCACGCAATTCCACGACCGACATCTCCCCCTCCAGGCCGTGGCCAGGGATCTGCAGGAGGACTGGGGTTGGGGGAGGCCCCAGGCAAGGAGCCAGGCCCAACCCTTCCCGGCTGGCCCCAGCCCCTGGCTTTCCCGCTGCACCAGCTCCATCGTCCTTCCTGAAGGCCACAGGCCTGGCCCCGTGCCCAGGCGGCCACCCGTCCATTCGGCGGGGCCTGTGTGGCAACATGCGCCGTCAGGCTTCTCCCACCTGGGCCCCCTCCGCAGCCCTCGACCTGAGCTGGGACAGCTCAGCTAGGGGCCTGGTGGGGCCCTCTGCGCTGGCAGGGCCCCCGTGGAACTCAGCCTTGTCTCCCTAGCCGAGACCTGGGGGCCCAGGCAGAGAGCCCGTCGGACTCTGCACAGCCGGGGACCAGGCCTAAACCCCACACCGGGTCCATCCCCGCTTGCCAGCCTGGCCTCTCGCGGGGTTTCCGACACGGCCTCCGGGGGCTGCTGCCCGTCTCAGGCCCCTGCCCATCCAGCACCTGCGCCGTCCCTCCAGCGCACTTGCCACGCAGGCCTAGTGAGTCCCGGGGCCTCCCTCAATACGCAAGTCTGTGAAGCTGCCCGCCGGCCCCCCGGGTGCCAGAGGCCTCCCCGGACCGGGTCCTCCAGCACAGCGGGCAGGGGGCAGTTGGGCGTGAGTGGCCGGGTGGACCCCAGCTGGGGTCCAGACCGCCTTCCGCCTTGGTGGGAATCGTGGGTGCACCCTCCGCAGGACGCCAGGCCCAGGAAGACGCGAGGAAGCCTCCCCCACCCCCGCCCCCAGAGGTCGCTGGACGGGCGCAGGACCCAGAGCGGCAGCCTCACCTGGGTCAGGTCCACCAGCTTGCCCCTGCGCGTGGGCCGAAACTCCAGGGCTCGCAGCTGGGAGACGAGGTCGCAGCGCCGCTTCTGCTCCTCCTTGGCCGCCTCCGTGCTGCGCTGCAGCAGCTCCCGGTTCTCCTCCGTCACCTCCTGAGCTGGGGGCCAAGCAGGGTGCTGAGGGGTTCGGAGAGCAGCCGGCCGGCCCCGGGGCCGGGGGTAGCTCCTGGGAGGGCACGGCGCCCCCCCACCCCCTACCTATCCGCCGGCGGCCCTTTCGGAGCTCCGTCTGCGCCACCTTGACGTTCTTCTGTGTCTCTATCACCTGCTCCACCAGCTCCTTCATGGACTTTTCCTCCTGGAGGCGCCTCTCTGCGCACCGCTGCATCAGCTCAGCTGTCTGGACACAACCGGCCACCATCAGAGCAACCCGCTCTGGCCCCTGAGCCGCTGATGTCGGCCCTGAATCACCCAGGAACCTGGGTTTAGGCTCGCCAGCGTCTGGGGGGTCAGACCTGCAGGGAATTCCCACCTCACACCCTCCTGGCCTCCCCTATGGGGGTGAGCCCAGAACCAGGCCGCCACGGCCCCAGGTCCGACAGGGCCGCCGAGGAGGGCAGCAAACAGAGCCGGGGGGAAACTGGGTCAGGGCCCCAGGCCTGCCCTGAAGCCCACCCACTGCTCACTCCAGGTCACAGAGGAGGACCCTCCTCGCTTTGCAGCCACGTGGGGCCAGCTGTCCAGATTCTGCCCACGACAGGCACAGGCCAGGCTCCAGGGGAGCCCGAGGCACGTCCTGATGGTCCTCCCACACTCCTCTTTCTCCTGGAGCCTCTGATATGCACAGCCCTGAACCACAGGGCGTGCTCCCGCCACTGTGAACCACGTCACAGGCCCTGCGTCCCAGCTCCTCTCTTCTGCTCTGCGTCAGGGGTTCCAGCCTCGCCCACGTGTTCACTGGGATTGCAGCTGGCTTACTCTTATGGCTGTTTCAGGGAATATATCACAACTCTTTGATCAATCCTACCACTGAGACACATTCAGGTTGTTTCCCGTTTGGCGCTATCGTGAACAATTCAGAATATTATTTTCAGTCTTCAAGATACTACAAATTGGACTTCCCTGGTGGTCCATCGGTTAAGAATCTGCCTGACAACGCAAACCTGAGCGCCAAAGAATTGATGCTTTTGAACTGTGGTGTTAGAGAAGACTCTTGAGAATCCCTTGGACTACAAGGAGATCTAACCAGTCCATCCTAAAGGAAATCAGTCCTGAATATTCATTGGAAGGACTGATACTGAAGCTGAAACTCCAACACTTTGGCCACCTGATATGAAGACCTGACTGGAAAAGACCCTGATGCTGGGAAAGACTGAAGGTGGGAGGAAAAGGGGATGACAGAGGATGATATGGTTGGATGGCATCACCGACTCAATGGACATGGGTTTGAGAAAACTGGGAGTTGGTGATGGACAGGGAGGCCTGGCATGCTGCAGTCCACGGGGTCGCAAAGAGTCAGAAGCGCCTGAACTGAATGAAAATGCAGAGGACACAGGTTCGATCTCTGGTCTGGGAAAATGCCATGTGCTGTGGGACAGCCCAGCCCGTGCGTCACAACCACTGAAGCCTGTGCGCTGCAGGGCCCAGGCTCGGCGAGAAGAAGAGAAGCCGCCGCTCCCCACAGCTGGAGAAAGCCCACGCGCAGCAACGGACACCCAGTGCAGCCAAAAAATAAACAGAAAATTCTTTGAAGACTCTCCATTTAAAAAAGAAAAAAGATGCCACAAAGGACAGGGTGGGATGTGCACCTCCCATCACTGCCCAGTGCCGCCAGGGGGCGCCCTGGACTCCCAGTCCCAGAGGCCTTGGCAGCTGGGGTTCATTTCAGCCCACGTGGCAGGTGGAGGGTCTGGTGCTGGTGGCGTGGACTCCAGGCACGCTGGGCAGGAAGGAGGCCTTGGTGAAGCACTCTGCCAGCACACGTAAACTGGCTCGTGGCCACCCTTCTCCGTGCAAGTTCATCCCAGGTTCTAAGGAAAGGAACTAGGGTCCTCGGAGAGACGGCCACTTTACGTCTGAGGAGGAGAAGATACAAGATGAGCCTGGAGCGTTTTACGGCATTGTAGAGGAGGGAGGGGGCCTTGCAAGTGGCTCGGCAGAATCGAGCCCGCCTGCAGTGCCGTAGACGTGGGGTCGATCCCTGGGTCAGGAAGATCCTCTGGAGGAGGGCGTGGCAACCCACTCCAGTTTTCTTGCCTGGGAAATCCCATGGACAGCGGAGCCTGGCGAGCTACAGTCCTTAGCAACTAAGCAACGACAACAGTGACGTGCGTGCTAACTCGCTCAGCTGGTCGGACCCTGCGACTCTATGGACTCGCCCTCCAGGCTCCTCTGTGCATGGGATTCTCCAGGCAAGAATACCGGAGTGGGGTGTCATGTCTTCCTCCAGGGTATCCTCCCAACCTAGGCATCGAACCTGCATCTCTTACATCTCCTGCACTGGCAGATGGGTTCTTTACCGCTAGTGCCACCTGGGAAGCCCCTGACAAAAGGAAGGATGTGCTCGAGAGACAAAAGAATGACTGGGGATTGGGGGGCATGTCAAAGGGACACGGGCGCCAGCCCGAAGGGGCTCCCAGTGACCAAAGCTGGCAACAGAATAAGTCATGTGTTGGATTATAACACAAAGTATAGAATAAATATGCATGAGTGAATAAGTGAGCAAGTGGGGGAGAAGAGACCAGCGTTCTGTGCTGAAGAATTCCACACAATCCCCCACGTCCTTGAGTGTGGGCTCCACTGAGAGACCCCTTCCAAAGAGCGCAGCGTGGGAGGGGCAAGGCCCTTGGCAAGAAGCCGGGTGATCAAGGCCAGCGTGCTCAGCGATGAGTTTGCTGATGGCAGGAACCCTGATGGGATGTGAGGAGAAGGCCCGCGGCCTCTGTGGTCTTCCTGCCACACCCGGCCGGCCATCCCAACAGACTGACGTTCTCTGGGACACCTGACTGAACCCTCATCCGCCGCCGTGCCTGCATCGGCAGGCGGCCCTTACCACTGTACCACCTGGGACGGTGCAGGATGCCCGATGACAAGTGTCAGGATAAGAAGAGGAGGAGACACAGAGAGGCGCAGAAGACGGCCCCGGCCTGCGGGAGGAGGGCACGGGCCGCCAGGGCGCCTGGAGCCCCGGGCCAGCTCTTGGCTCTGTCTGCCCGGACGTAACCCTCGGGCCCGAGGTCCGGCCCGGAGTCCGCTCAGGGCCAGACTGGCCTCGCGGCTTCGTGGGCCCCACTGCACGGGACTCATCCCAAGAAGGCAAGGATGGGCTAGCATTAAGAAATCCCTCATACAATTCAACACATGCATAGAGGTTGGGAGGAAAAGTGGATTCTCTCCACAGACGCTGCAAAAGCCTTTACGAGAATTGACACCCGGGACTTCCACGTCTGGGAAGACGGGGTGGGGGCACTTTGCTCTACTACTCCCACCTGGCACAGCTAAAACCCCTGAATATAAATTATCAAACATACAGGGACTTCCCTGGTGGTCCAGTGGCTAAGGCTCCATGCTTCCAATGCGGGGGGGCCCAGGTTCGATCCCTGGTCAGGGAACTAGATCGCACATGCGGCAACTAAGGCTTCCCTGGTGGCTCAGAGGTAAAGAATTCACCTGCTAACGCAGGCGACAACATGAGTTGGATACCTGGGCCAGGAAGATCCCTGGGGGAAGGGAATGGCAACCCACTCCAGTATTCTTGCCTGGGAAATCCCATGGACAGAGAAGCCTGGCGGGATACAGTTCCACGGCGTCACAAATGAGTCAGCTGAATAACAATCACAACGAATCCTGCAACTAAGGCCTGGCACAGCCAAATGAATAAATATTAAAAAAAAAAAAAAACCAAAAGCATACATACAAAGACAGTGAACAGTGGAGGGAAGAAGGCCGGCTGGCTAGGACTGCAGGACCTGAAGAATGGCATGGTGATGGGGTCCCTGGCCTCCTTTTTACCTCATGTGTTCCAGGCTGGGGGTTGAAGGCCCCCAAAATGCCACAGGCACTGACAAAAAAGCCCGACCACAGCCTGCTGTCTCCAACTAGTGTCAGCTGCTCAGTCGTTTCCGACCCTTTGCGACCCCATGCACTGTAGCCCACCAGGCTCCCCTATCCATGAGATTTCCCAGGCAAGAATACTGGAGTGGGTTGCTATTCCCTTCTCCAGGGGATCTTCCTGACCCAGGGGTTGAACCCGGGTCTCCCGCACTGCAGGCAGATTCTTTACCGTCTGAGCCCCCGGGGAAGGTAGGGCCCACCTAGAGAGACAGAAGACGGCGCGGCACAGCCTGTGCTCCAGCCAGACGCCACAGACGGAACCTGGGCAAGGCTGAGCGGGCGTGAACTTCCCCGAGCCGTGGGAGACGGTGCACGGCCTTCTGAGCAGGGACCTGCCCCACGGGTCCGCTGTGCCAGAGGAGACCCGGCAGTGAGCTCAGCAACCTGGCGTCTACCCCCACCCGTGGGAACAAGGGTCCCGTCACCCCCCCACCAGGGTGGCGTCAGGGGAAGCCGGTGCCAAGTGAGGGCTTTCCCCTCACGCTTGCCACGTGACAGGGAGGGCCACGTGGGGGCAGTTCTAAGGTGCTCCTGCCACTCCCGCTCAGGCAGCTGTCGGTGGAGGACGAGCGGAGCCCTTGCCCTCATCAGTAGCCCCTCTCGGGGTCAGCAGAGGCGCGTGGGGAGGGAGCGCTGACGAGCCTGCCTGGCACTAACGTGGTGGTGCCCCCCTTCCTCTGCCAGAGCAGCGTCAGAGAGGGGCAGCTCAGACAGAAGGCTTAAATGAGACCCAGACGCTTGGAACAGAATACCCAGAAGGTCCGGGTTTCAACCGGTCATCACACCACAAGCCAGGGTGGTCTCCACACAATGAAGACACAGTCAGAAGGCACCAGCACCGAGGTCACAGAGGTGTTGGATCTGATGGCGGTTCTTAAAGAAGCCATCGTTAAAATGCTTCAACAAGCGATTATGAAAGACATAAGCTCAACAACTTTGAAATAAATAGCGCAGAGTATGTTCAACAACCACGATGGAATCAACCGGAAACCAATCGTGAAAAAGAACCAATGCTTGGAAACAACATACTCCTAGATAATCCATGGGGCAAAGAGATATTTTCAAGTGAAATGAAAAAGTACGCTGAACTGAGTGAAAGTGAAATACAACAGACCAAAATTTGTGGACACAGACAAAGCAACAAATAAATGGGAAAGCGCGAGACTGGGAGCTCACAATGGAAAAGCAGCAAAGTCTTGGGTCAGTAACCCACCTCCCATCTCAAGAACCCAGGAGAAGAACAAAATAAACTCAACGCAAGCAGGAGGAAGGAAATAATAAAGAGCAGAAATCAATAACACTGGAAACAGTCAAACAGGAGAGAAAAATCAATGAAACAAGAGGCTAGTTCTTTGAAAAGATCAATGGAATTGACAAATCTCTAGCAATGCTTACAGAAAAAATGAACAAACACAAAATCATCAGTATCAAGAGTGAAATGCTTTAGACCCTACAGACATTAAAAAGGATAGTAACAGAAGCTTAAAAACAACTCTTACATTCATAAATTTGGCAGCTTAGTGAAATGGACAATTTCTCAAAAAACAGAGACTACCACAACTTACCCAAAATGAAACAGATCGTTTGAATAGCCCTGTAACTTGTAAGAAAGCTGAATTTCTAATTTAGAAACGTCCAAAAAAGAAAACTCCAAACCCAGATGATTTCACTAAAGAATCCTACCATGTGTTGAAAGAGTGAATATCAATTTTACACAATCTTTCCTAGAAAACGAGAGGAGAAAACACTTCCAAATTCATTTTATGAAGTTATAATTACCCTGATACCAAAGCCAGACAAATGACATTCCAAAAAAGGAAAACTATAGACTAACACTACTTAAGAAACTACATGTAAGAACAACTCTAAGAAAATCAAAATAGTAGCAAATAGAATTCAACCTACATAAAAAAGAATTATACAAACACCACAATCAAGTGGGGTTTATTCTTAGAATGCAAAGCTGGTTCAACATTTGAAACTCAGTCAATGTAATCCACTGTATTAACAGGCTAAAGATGATCACATGACTGTATCAATTGATCCAGAGAACCGTTTCGCAAAATTTCCTGATAAAAACTTTCAGAAAAACAGGAATATAAGGGAATTAATCGACTTGATAAAGTGCACATCTACGAAAAACCCGACATCTAACATTATACTTAATAGTGAAAGACTGATTTCCCCCAAGATGGTGAACTAGCCAGTGCAACAGGCAAGAGGAGGAAATAAATGGAATGCAGATTGGAAAGGAAGGAATAAAAGATGAAATGACTGTCACAGAGAGAAGTCCAAGGAATCTATGACAAACTGTCTGGTTTGTCCTAAAAAACTAATAAGGGAGTTTAGTGAGGCCACAGGACACAGGAACGACACACAAAACCAACTGTATTTTACAGACTGGCATTCACTATGTGGACACCAAAATTGAAAATACAATGCCATCCACAACCACTCGAAAATCATGGAAGAAATACTGAGGTGCAAGTCTAACAAACTTCTATAGGACTTACACACAGAAACCTAAATAACCAGATGAAAGAAATAAAAGATTGAAACAAGTGGAGACACATACTGCATTCAAGGACTGGAAGACTAAACTGTATGGCATCTGCTGGATTCGGATCTTAACACCACGTACGAGAATAAATTTCAAGTGGATAGAGATCCAGATTTAAAAATAAAACCACACAAATGCTAGAAGAAAATATGGCTGAATTCCTCCACACCATGCGCATGGGAAAAACCTTCCTCGCTATTCAAAATCCAGATACAATGAAAGAGAAGACTGATAAGTTTGATGACATGAAAATACATTTGCAAAAAAAAAAAAAAAGAAAATACATTTGCAAGGCCAAAACACATCATTCAAGTGAAGCCAAATGAGTAACTGGAACAAAATACCTGTAATAATATATTATAATTAAAGGGTTACTTTCCTTAACAGGTAAGTGAAAGTCGCTCGGTCATGTCCCACTCTCTGCGACCCCATGGACTATGGAGTCCATGGACTTCTCCAGGCCAGAGTATTGGAGTGAGTAGCTGTTCCCTTCTCCAGGGGATCTTCCCAACTCAGGGATCAAACCCAGGTCTCCCATAATGCAGGCAGATTCTTTACCAGCTGAGGCAGGTAAAAAAAAAAAAAAAAGCCGGTAAAAAAAACTTTACCACCGTTTATGGGATCGCAAAGAGTCAGACGTGACTGAGCACCCACACACGTGGGACGGGAGATGGTATTTGCAAATCATACATTCAGTGCAACTAGACAGCTCTTAAAGAAAATTAGAGATACTAAGATACATTTCCTGCGAAGATGGGCACAATAAAGGACAGAAATGGTATGGACCTAACAGAAGCAGAAGAGATTAAGAAGCGGTGGCAAGAATACACAGAAGAACAGCACAGAAAAGATCTCAGTGACCCAGATAACCACGGTGCTGTGATCATGTACAGCCAGACATCCTGGAGTCCTAAGTCAAGTGGGCTTAGGCAGCATCACACACACAAAGCTAGCGGAGGTGATGGAATACAAGCTGAGCTATTTCAAATCCTAAAAGATGATGCTGTGAAAGTGCTGCCCTCAATATGCCAGCAAATTTGGAAAACTCAGCAGTGGCCACAGGACTGGAAAAGGTCAGTTTTCATTCCTATCCCAAAGAAAGGTAATGCCAAAGAATGTTCAAGCAACTGCACAATTGCACTCATTTCACACACTAGAAAAGTGATGCTCAAAATTCTCCAATATAGGCTTCAACAGTACATGAACTGAGAACTTCCAGATGTTCAAGCTGGATTTAGAAAAGGCAGAGGAACCAGAGATCAAATTGCCAACATCCGTTGGATCATAGAAAAAGCAAGAGAATTCCAGAAAAACATCTATTTCTGCTTTATTGACTATGCCAAAGCCTTTGACTGTGTGGATCATAGTAAACTGTGGAAAATTCTGAGAGATGGGAATACCAGACCACCTGATCTGCCTCTTGAGAAACCTGTATGCAGGTCAAGAAGCAATAGTTAGAACTGGATATGGAACAAGAGACTGGTTCCAAATCAGGAAAGGAGTATGTCAAGGCTGTATATTGTCATCCTGCTTATTTAACTTATACACAGAGTATACCATGCAGCATGCTGGGTTGGATGAAGCACAAGCTGGAATTGAGACTGCTGGGAGAAATATCAATAACCTTAGATATGCAGATGATACCACCCTTAAGGCAGAAAGCAAAGGGGAACTAAAGAGCCTCTTGATGAAAGTTAAAGAGGAGAGTAAAAAAGTTGGCTTAAAACTCAACATTCAAAAAACGAAGATCATGGCATCTGGTCCTATCACTCATGGCAAATAGATGGGGAAACAATGGAAACAGTGACAGACTGTATTTTCTTGGGCTCCAAAATCACTGCAGATGGTGATTGCAGCCATGAAATTAAGAGATGCGTGTTCTTTCAAAGAAAAATACCAACCTGGATAGCATATTAAAAAGCAGAGACATTACTTTGCCAACAAAGGTCCATCTAGTCAAAACTGTTGTTTTTCCAGTAGTCAGATATGAAAGTGAGAGTTGGACCATAAGAAAACTGAATGCTGAATTTTTGATGCTGTCGAACTGTGAAGCGTTGGAGAAGACTCTTGAGAGTCCCTTGGACAGCAAGGAGATCCAACCAGTCCATCGTAAAGGAAATCAGTCCTAAATACTCATTGGAAGGACCGATGCTGACGCTGAAGCTCCAATATTTTGGCCACCTGATGCAAAGAACTGACTCACTGGAAAAGCTGATGCTGGGAAAGACTGAAGGCAGGAGAAGGGGACGATAGAAGATGAGATGGTTGGATAGCATCACTGACTCCATAGAGATAAGTTTGAGCAAATACGGAGAGACAGTGAAGCACAGGGAAGCCTGGCGAGCTGCAGACCATGGGGTCCAAACGAGTTGGATACAACTGTGCAACTGAACAACAATGTGAAGAACAGACACAAACGCGTCTGCCCGGAGAAATGCTACGTGTGAACCTGCGGCATACCTGCCGACTCAGGCCCTTAGTGGCACAGCTAACAAGACTGGGCTCCTGTTGCGTCCCTGGGCCCTGTAGGTTCCTGCCTCGTCCAGGCCCCCACCAGGCCCCCATCAGGCCCCCTGGACGGGACACGGGCAGGGCGCCCCCAGCCAGGCCATGTCTTCTGCGATGTCCAGAGTATCCTAACTGGAAATGTGGGCGACCCACATACCCTCTCGCGTCTTATGCAAACATGTTTGCCTCCTGGAAGTTTCCCTCAGATCTCCGGTCTCCCCCCCACGTGTAGGTGCGGGGACCAACCGACCCTGCCAGTAGGCGCGGGGGGCAGCCTGGACCGGAGGTGCTGGCCAGTCGTCCCACTGAGGCCCGCTGACCCCAGACTCCAGACGCTCCTGCCCCCCGCCCCCCGCCTGGCCCAGGCCACACGAGGCCCCAGGACCCAGCGCGGTTCTGCGGGTTTAGGAGGAAAGGGGCGGGTCAGCGACCGCGGGCAGCCCCGCACCCCCTACTGCCGTCACCTCCTCCTTCTTCAGCTCTGCCATGCGCCTCTTCTCCTGCGCCACCTGCTGCCGCGCCAGCGCCGCCTCCTCGTGGCTCAGCTTCCCCCGCAGCCGGCGGACCTCGCCCGCGGCCAGCTGCGCCACCCGGTCCTTCGCCTGCATCCGCCTCTGCCACTCGAGGAACTCGGAGAAGTCCCCGGCCCCGCCCACGAGCCGGTCCACCCTGGGGAGAGGGGGCGGCGGGCCCGCTGGCGGCTCCCGTGAGGCCCGCCCGGAGCCCAGGGTCCCCCCGGCGGGCGTGGCCGCTCTGCACGGGACACCCGGCCCCACACCGCCCGCCTGCCCCGGTCCGGAGTGTGCACCCACCCTCTGGCCGCGTCTCCCCGCTCGTCCCTTCAACCGCTCGTCTGTCCTCTCACCTGTGTCCGTCTGTCCTCCGCCCCCTGCCCACCCATCTGACCACCCGCCACCGCTCTGTCCCTCTGTCCATCTTCTCATCCAGCGGGTCAGACACCCAAGCTCCCCCCGCAGCCCAGCTCTCAGGGTGAGACCAGGGCCTGCAGCCGGGGCGGTCTAGGGGAGAGGGCCCCTCAGCGAGGGGTGGGGTGGCCGGGTTTCCCTGAGCCGCCTCCTCCTGTCTGCCCATCTCCTCGCCGAGTGGAGCCGAGCTTCCTTGGCTGCGGCCGTGACCCTGACGCCGGCCTTCTTGAGCCCCTGGGGCTGCTCGGGTGGGTCGCCGCCGCTCCCCGCCCCCGGACCCCGCAAGGGGCGCCCGAGGCCCTCCAGTCCCCACCTCTGCAGCTCGTTCTCCACCTGCCGCTGGTACAGGGCCCCTTCGCGCAGGATGGCGGCCGTGTTGAGCTTGACCGGGGCGTTGTCGTTAGGCTGCGGGAGAGGTGGGGGCGGGCTGCGACAGGGGTGGGGGGCGGCCTCGGAGCAGCCAGTGCCCCCTTGCCCTCCACACCAGCCCTCTGCCCGGCGCTCCCCTCAGCCGTAAGGGCCAGGATGTCCTCAGGGGGACAGAGCCGGAGGCGGGCGCGTGGGCAGAGGCCCCAGGAGCACCGCTCACCGTGTAGAAGGTCAGTTTCTGGGTCTTGAGGATACGAGGCGGGAGCGGGGGCCGCGGCTTCTTCTCGGAGCCCTGCGGGAGTCAGGGCCTGGCACCTGTGCACACGGGTGCCCCCAAATGCACCCCGGGGAGGCCTGGCCCACTCCCCTCTGCCCAGCTCGCCCCGCGTGGGGCCCCTGGGCAGGTCCCTCTAGGGCCTGCCAGCCGCCTGGGCGGGTAGGGAGGGTTTGGGGGGCCGGCATGCCGGCTGGGGACCGCGGTTCCCAGACAGGGGGCTGGAGCCTGCGGGCTCAGGGGCCCTCTCCCCGCGGCCCCGGGGCCGCCCCGGGACGGCCCGGCTGCTCCCTGCCCGGCCTTCTGCTCTGCTGACCCCCTCAAGGTGGGTTCGTTGGTCCACGGCACAGCAGCTGGTGAGAGGCAGCCCCCGCACAAGCACCCGGCCGTGACACCTGGGCACGCTGCTCCCGGGCGGGGTGCCCACTCCCCTGGCCTGCTCCCACTGCCGGGGGAGGCTCACCTCTGGCCCCTCCGCTGCCACCCGGGCGAGTCCACTGTGGTGGTGGTGGGCGGGGGGGAACAGGCCAACCTCTCCCAAGGGAGCACCGCTCAGCGTCCACCCAGCCTGGGGCCTCCCGGCCCAGCTCCCTGACTTTCTTTATTGACAAACACATCTTGGGGTTTTTCTTACAGAAATGTTAAATGCTCAGTGTGGGAAAACCTGGAAGCAGCCGGAGACAGCCAGGCTGCCCCTGCTGGTCCGGACAGCACGCGGCCGGCGTCTCGGGGCCCCGCCCTCCCGTGGCACAGGGAGGGGCCTGTCTGGGAAGCCCCGCCCAGGGCGTGGGGGCGGGGGCGGGGGCGGGCATCACCTGCCGCGGGAGCTCCCCGCGGCTCCTGGGCATCGCGCACCGCAGCTCCTCGATGTTAGCCCGCAGCAGCAGCTCCTGTGCAGTGACAGACGGCTCCAGCCCCACCGGCCGCCACGCGGACCCCGGCCACAGACGCACAGGCCGACTCGCCGCCCCTCCCCTCCTCCCTCCCTGGCACCCCCACGGGGGTCTCCCTGTGTAGCCCGCCCACCTCGGCCTTCCAGCGGTTGTATCTCTTGGTCATCTCCAGCAGCCGCTGCTCCTTGGGCGGCTGGTAGGTGCTCCTGGGGACCTGGTTGGGGGGGGCGCAGCGGAAGGGAGACCGAGGTGACAAGCCGCACCATGAAAACTAATAAGACTAATAAAAACCATAAAAACGAATTAATGTCGTGAAGAAAAGGATCTGGGTCAACGAAAAGGAACTTGAGAGAGCTGATAAGAGGCGAGGGGTCCATGGAAAGCCTCTCAGGGAAGAGGCTGTAAGGAGACCCGACAGGTGGTGGGAGTGGGCTGGGACCCTGGGACTTTCCAGCACCATCCCTTCAGCCTTCATTTACTCCTTAGTTCTGCTGGGGGATGCGATTGGTTCTGGGAAGCCGAGTCCATCACAGGCGCTCAGGGTGGAGCCCAAGACCTGTCAGAACACTGCACTCCCAGTCATGGTGATCAGGTCAAGGGCAGACATGCAACCTCCGTTGGTCTAATCATAATGTCACAGAATTCTTGGCCCTAGATGTCCTCTCATGCCCCGGACAGTGAGTTGTGGGCATGAGGCCTGGATGTTTGGCTACCATGAGGGAAGTCAGCCCAAAGATCAAGCCGACCCTCAGAGGGGTCTAGGGGAAAGAGAGTCACAAAGAGGCAGCTCCAGCACCCTGATTAAACTATGCCTGAAGCCGATGCTACTTCAGCCGTGAGAGTTGGCTAGTTCTCTATTGTCTAAGCCAGACTGAGCTCTCTTTCCTTGTAATAAGAAGCATCTTGACTGAGAGACGTCAGCAACGCAGGGCAGGGGGAGGCAGCAAAAATGGGTCTAGGCAGATGGGATAGACAGGCAGAGACCCCGAGGTGGGGAAAGCCTGCACACACACACACACACACACACACGCGCGTACACTGTGGGGAGGGAGAGGTGCATAGCAACAGGGTTAAAGAGGGCTCTGAGTGCCAAGTGAGACAGGCCTGCGTCCTGTGGCCACCGGCTTCACTCCATGCCTACTGACCAGACCTCACTCCCTGGGCGCCCACTCCCCTGGGCAGGCTCTGGGTCAGCTGGGCTTCCCTCTCTGGGTGAGACAGGGTGGTGGGGGCATCGAATGCTCCTGGTCTGGCCCATGCGCCCTCAGCCCTGGAAGAACCCAGCTCCACCCCGGCCCACACGGCCCACGCTCCCTGCCTTCACGGGTTGGGCCCATGGAGACTGGCTCCACTTACCGGTCTGGTCTTGGCCACCTTGGGGACCAGCTCAGGCACGGGGATGGCGCGGGGCCTGGGGGTGGTCAGGCTGAACTCCTTGGGCTCTGTGACCTTGGCCTTGCTCTTGGGAGGAGAGGGCTGGCTGGTCAGCTCCCCCTGCAGCTGGTCGATCAGCTCCTGGACTTCCGGCTGCCACCTCAAAGACAAAGGTGGGAGCAGCGGCTTCGGGGGGGCTGCCTGTGCAGGTCAGTGAGGGGACGGCCCCTCGGCACAGGGGGAGGAGGCCGTGAGCGGGGAGCAAGCGGGCGTTTCAAAATCAGGGTCCCTGGAGCTGCACCGCTGTGACAGGCAGAGAGGAGACTGCAGGAGGGGTTGAGGCAGGGGAGGAGTCTCAAGGTGGAGGTGCCCTGGACCAGGGGTTCTGGAAGGGCCCTGCTGGGCTGCCCCCTGAGGTTTGAGCTCCCCCCCATGCCTCCTCACACCAGTGGGTACTGCTGGCCATCGCCTACGTAGCCAGTGGGTGATGCCTCCCAGGGAGACCGCTTGGTTTGAATCTTTCCTGCCCCAGCTTGAGGTCCAAGGTCACCAGAAGGAGGAAGGGCGTGTCTGAGGGCCAGTAGGAGTGGGGTCCGGGGAGGGGGAGCAGCTGGGAAGGGGGCTGCTCACAGGGCGGGCGGGGAAGGCTGCAGATGGGGTTGTGGGCGGTGCCGCAGGATCTGCAGGCCTAGGCAGCTGGGAGCAGCCCTCCGCACTGGGTGCTGGCAGCAAGTCCAGCCAGGCGGGAGGCCCTTCCCCCGCTGCTCAGGGCCGGGGCTCCTGTACCCTGCCGGCACCCGAGGGGTCTGCCGCTGCCAGAACCACCTGTCAGCCCGTCCCCAGGAAGACAAGGTGGCTCCCCGGCCCTGGCAGAGGGGGCCGGCTGGGGGCGGCAGCTGCACGCTGGCCACTGCAGGCCCACCAGAGGTCCTTTCGCCTGCGGGTCCTGGCCTGCACCAGCCCGGCCAGCATTGGCCCGAGCCTAGCGGGGGAGGTTGTGGAAGGTGGTGGGGACAGCTTTGGGGTGACGGGCCCAGGAGGGGCGCCCTGGGGGCAGCTGGGGAAGAGATGCAGGCCCCCTACTCCCCAGCCACGAGCTGGCGGCCTGCATGGACGCCGCCCTGGGGTGAGGCCCCGGCGCTGCCCACCTCATCAGGGGATCGATCCAGTTCTCCTTCACGTGGGATGTCTCGTAGACAAGGCTCCACTCGTCCTTGATCCATGAGCCGAGGTTCAAGGGGCTGAAGAGGAACCCGAGGAACTGAGGGAAGAGGGAGCCGCGGGGGCCAGGCCCACTCGGTGAGAGTGAAAGCCCCTGGAGCCCCCCAGCGGGGAGTCAGTGCTGGGGTGGCAGCTGTGGCTGGCGCACCCCCAGGAGACCTCAGCCGGCCGCAGACAGGGGTCCAGCCCCACTGGCCTGCCCCCTCCTGTGGGCCTGGGGAGCTGCCTGTCGCTCGCCTGGGCCCCTGTGTTCGCCAGCGGGGTCCCTGTCGGCTGTGGGCCCCGGGCTTCAACCCCTGTTCCCCATGGGTCTGTACAAACGCCCCCACCCCGTCCTCCCCACTGGCTCTGGGTGGGTGGGGGCTGGGCAGGTCCTCGGCCCTGATGCCCGAGGCGGGGTGGTGGGCAGGGGGCAGGGCCAGGGCCTCTGGTCGCCCGCTGCTGCCTCCGCGGGGGGCCCACCGCCCCCACAGGCATGTCCACCCCTCCTTCTTCTGCTCAGGCCTCCATGCCCTGCCTCAGGGAGCAGCTACCTGCCAGGGGTCCTTCTAGAGCCTTCCACAGCTTCCACAGCAGCAGCCTGGCCCCTACTTCCCCATGCCCCGAGCCCCCGGGCCTCTGCCTACCCCCCGGGCCCTGTGGAGGCTGTCTCAGCCCCTCGCCTACCCCCTCCCGGTGTTACCTCCATCTTCTAGCTCCTGTTCCCACTTCCTGATGGAGGCAGTCAGGTCCCTATGGTTGGGGCACTTGGGGTCTCCACAATTTCTCCTCCCAGACCACTGCTCCTGGGGCCCACCGCTCCACCCCTGGGCCCCCCTCATCCTCTCACCCCTATCTGGGGACACACTACTCCCGGTGGAGGGGGGCTCTCCGAAAGGAAACTGCACCGGAGGGGGTGTGCTGGTTCTAGGCACCAGCTGGGAGGCCAAGCCTGGTTCAGGGTCGGCTCTGCCACTGCGGGACCCCCCGGGGCAGGCTGACACATGGGCCTTTTGCTCAACAATTATTAAGAATTTTTTTTTTTTTAAGAATTTCAAGACTCTGACAGCAGAGTGTGAACCAAGTGCGGGCGCTCCAGCAGGGAAGCTGGCCCTGGGTGTCTCTGAATATCGCTCAGAAAATGCTGTCATGAAATGAAGCCCTTGATTACGGTGACTATGGAAACATCCATGAACCGTGAATTACTCATGTTTATACGTGGACAGGAACACAGTCACTAAACGTGCTGCCTCGCTCACCTGCCAGGGGGCGGGTGCAGATCTCTGGGGCGGTGGTCCTGCGAGTGTCCCGGCTCCCATCTCCCTTCCCCCGCCCCGCACCTCCCCTCCCGCTCCAGGGCTGCCCCTGCAGCGCCTGCCGCTTCCCTCCAGAGGGGCCGCACAGTGCTCCTGGGGCCTCAGCTGTCCCTCTCTTCTCTGGGAGTCATTATCCCGGGCTGGGGGCTGCCGCCTGCCGCCTGCCGCCAAGCCCAGCAGGGAGGAGCCCGCCAGCGGTTGAAAGCCTGGCCCGAAAACCGGCTCTGCCGCTCAGCTGCTGTGTGACGTCGAGTTAGCTACCGAACTTCTCTGCCTCAGTTTCCTCAACTGCGGGATGAGTGCTTGTAGGAGTGACCTCGCCCAGTCCCTGTGAGGGCGGACCAAGGAAGCCGGGCCCACAGCAAATGCTCCATGGGAGTGGCCGGCAGAGGGCAGCGGGCCTGAGGCCCATTCACGGTCCTGCTGGCCCTGAGGCCCTGGGCATCCCGAGCTTTCTGCCCGAGTGAACAGGCGGCCATAGAGACGGCCTGGGGGAGGGGAGGGGGTGGGCTCCCGCAGGCGCCCTCTCAAAGGCTGCCACCCCTCAGGACCTGCTCCAGACTGCGCCCTCCCCGACCCCCCGAAGCCACACAGCCCCTCCTGCAGGAAGGAGAGGCTGCCTCGGGCTGGGAAGGTTCCAGAGGCCCAGACTATGAACGGGCAAGGACGCCTTGTCTCGACTTAGCAGCTCACATCCAGCAGCGACCACCCGCCGGACCGCGAGGAGCAGAAAGCAGACTCCCCAGGCCTGAAAAGGGCACCTCTGCAGCAAGGCGGGGCCGGGGCCGGGGTCTGAGAACAGAACTTGGGGCTGGGGGTGGGGGGCTCACCTTGCACACCTTGTGGACCGGCTGGGACCGCACGACGTCACAGAAGAGCTGAAAGCCAAGCTCCTCCAGCTGGAACGTGGCCAAGTAGCAGATCACTGGGGGAAGAGGGCGTGGGCGTGGGAGCAGGATGCTGGGGTCCCCGCCTGGGGCGTTTGATCCTGGGAGAGGCACCAGGGGCTAAGGGCTCGACAGGGGCAGCGAACAGAGCCAAGGACGCCGCCTCCCTAGGGCCGTGTGGCCAGAGGCGCCTGCTCCATCGGGTCCAGGTGAAAGTGACAGCCTGATACAACAGTACAAGCGATGGGAGTGGGGGTGGGGTAGGGGGGAAGGGTTCCAGGGCTTCAAGCACTTGCAGATCATTGTAGCTCATTGGATACATTTCCAGAAATTCCAAAACTTCTGGGGTAAAAATAAAACCATCTTGCTTTTCAGTTTGTGAATTCTGAGACTGGAAGCCGCTGGACTAGGGGATGGGGGGCCAGCAGCCCAGCTCCGGCCCGGCATCGGGCACCCCTCCAGCTCTGTCTCTGAGCTCCCTGCAGTCCCGACCCCTCCCTCCCAAAGCAGGTCCATCGAAGCCCAAGGGCTGGACCACCTTCCCCGACTCAGACACTGGCCACTCTGCCCACGTTGCCACCACACCCCATGAAGGCAGCACTGCACAGCACGTGGGATCTTAGTTCCCTGACCAGGGATCGAACCCATGGCCCCTTCATTGGCAGCCCAGAGTCTTAACCACTGGACTGCCAGGGAAGTCCCCAAACGCCTCCTTCTACTGTACCCCCTCTGGGACCGTCCACAGTACAGCCAGAACACCAGCTCTGTACATGGTCCTCAGGGCCGTGGGGCCAGGAACTCAGCTGATGATGAAGACCTATCCTGTCACACAGACTGGCCTACAGGGTCACCTCTCCCAGCCAGCCTAGCCCTCCCTCTGAGGCCTGCGGAGGCCTGCCTCCTGGGGCCTGGCGGTCAGCACGCCTGGAGTCTGTCTCCACATCAGTGAGGGGGGGGAACACAGCCCCCTGGCCGCCCACGCTCCAGCAGCTGGGAGGGTCCAGGGAGGGAAGGGAGGCTGAGGACCTCGGAGGCCTGCTGGGGGAGGGGCTCGGTCACTATTGAGGGTCTGCAGGGGTCTGGCCCGCAGGGACCCGACCACAGCTGGCCACGGGCACCTACCCTCAAAGAGGCTGTAGTCAGCCCGCGGGCAGAGCCGGCCGTCCCGCACATAGAAGGCGTCCACCACGATGGTCAGCAGCTTGCGGTACTCTAGGCACCCCGACAGGATCTCCATGATGAACGCCTGCTTCTGGGGGCTCAGTGTCTGGAGGAGAAACAGCCCAGGGAGGGGGCAGCCGCCTCCAGATGTGGGAGCCCCAGCACCCTAGAGTGGGGAGCCCCTGGCCAACCCTCCGACCCTGCAGGTCCTCCCCCAGGAGTTGGTCCCTGGGCGGAGACCTTGAGCGGGGCAGAGATGGAAATAAACACGGAAAATGACCCCGAAGGAAAAGCCCTGTGTGATTCTGCTCATGTGAGGAGTCAGATTCCCAGGACGGGAAGTAGAAAGGTGTGTGGGGTGTGACAGGGGGGATGGAAAGAGGGTGGGGACTGTTATTTGACGCAGAGTTGCCAATTGCGAAGGTGAGAAGGTTCTGGAGACAGACGGTGGTGATATTCACATGCGAACATACTTAACCCACTGAATTGTATTGCATCATACACCTAAGAATGGCTAAGATGGTAAATTCTATGTCACCTGTATTTCACCACAATAAAAAAAGGAGCAAGCTCCTGTGAAGTTTTTCAAATGAATGATTTTAAAAATTACCCCCCCTCAAAAACAAACAAACAAACAAACAATAACCAAGCAAGGAAAAATCTCTGGCAGAGGGAATTAGTGTCAGTGGAGACTCTTCTCCATTTACTCTGAAACATGTTGGGTTTTGTAACCTGTGCGTGTCATGGCTTAAGTATTCAAAAAACCAAGTTTCGACAATAAGGAAAAAAGAACATCTGCTGCTGCCAGCAGCGCTTCCCAGGTGGAGCAGTGGTGAAGAACACATCTGCAAATGCAGGAGACCTAAGAGACGCGGACCGTTCCCTGGGTCGGGAAGATCCCCTGGAGGAGGGCACGGCAACCCGCTCCAGTATTCCTGCCTGGAGAATCCCAGGGACAGAGGAGCCTGGCGGGCTGCAGCCCATGGGGGCGCAAAAGAATCAGACGTGACTGAGCGATTTAGCAATCATTGCTGCCAGCGTAACAGTGAGCAGGCCTCCTGGGGATGGGGCTGGAGTGTCTTTCCTGAAAGCAATTTGGAAATATGTTTCAAAGGTCTTGTATTTCCCACACACTTTAACCCAGTAACCACACTTCTGGGACTCTAAGGAAACCAGACAAAAGGCAGAAAATATCCACAAAGGAGACGCTCAGGGTAACAGCATGTGCAGTGGCGAAAATGTTAACAGCCTGAATGTCAACGCAGGGAGTCAGATGCAAGCTCTCCGTGCTGCAGGTAAGTGGGATGCAGTCATTTCCATGATGTTCCCAGAAGACTTACAGTGAGATGGCAAAAAACTTAATGCCGGATTCTTATTCACTGTGCCACCAGGGACGTCCTGAACTTTTACTGTCAATGAGATTTTCATACGTCGTTTACTGGACATTTACTTGTATTTCTCTTCTGTGAATTATCAATTAATATTCTTGGCTACCTTTTTCTATTGGGATATTATTTTTCCCAATCGTTTATAGGAGCTCTTCATAGATTGAGGGAATCAACATGCCCATTAGTGTGACAGCTATTTGTTATAAGCTTGTAATATGCCTTTTAACTTTGTGCAAACTTTTTTTTGACATATGGATTATAGAAGCTTTGCTTTGTTTTGAGGTCTAATCTGCCTTTTCCTCTGTGATTTCCTCCCTTGCCTTTATGCTAAGAGAACAACAGGGTAATGAGGCCAGCCGAGGGGTCCGAGATGAACTTGGACTCCCGGGAGCCCCAGCCCCCACGCATGTGAGCAGGGTGTCTGTGCTTACTCCCTCCCGGCCTCCGCACCCCGGGGGCTGGAGTCCTGAGGGCCGCCCCTTCCAGCCGCCCTGCCTGGGGGTCCCGGGGTCCTGGGTGGAGTCAGGTTCGGCTGGTGAGGCACACCGGCAGGAGTGATGGGCGGCAGGGGGCTCGTCCCCCTCCTGCCTTGGCAGGAGCGCTCCGACACTGACTCTGCCGCCCCTCCGACGCCTGGAGCGGCTGCGGGAACCGCAGCTGATGGGGCAACACCACCCTCCTCTGACCTCCGACCTCGGCTCACAGGCTCCATCTCGGCTCCTCCGCTCCCTTATCTGCACTCGCCTCTGGGTGACCTTACACACCGTCAGGACAACGCAAGCAGATTTTGACTGTGGGAGGGCCCTCCCATCTCCCATCTCCGTAAGCACTACGCCCTGTTTCCCCGTGACGCTCTCCCCAGCGTCCCCTCCACGGGGTCCCAGCCACTGTCCCGCAGCTCCTTCGGCCCCTCCTCGGAGGTCACCCAGCAAGTCTTTGTAAAGGAAAGTCTGATGGCGCCTGTGCTTGATGGAACCCTCTTGGAAAAGAGTCCTTCCGAGGCCCCCGCCCCCACGAGGCCCCGCCCACCGGGCTGCAGTCCCGCGGCGCAGGCGAGCCCCCAATCGCGGCTGGCTGTGCCCTCCGCCTGCAGGGCTCTGCCCTGCACGCTTGCTCCCCATGCCCATCAGGCCTTGGCTCAGATGTCACCAGACCGGGGAGGCACCCCAGCCAGCCCCCAGGGTCACCCGTGGCCCCTCACCCCGCAGGATCACGCACTCGTGCTTACTGCCCCTCCGCGGCTCCAGGGTCACCCGAGTGCTCACGACGGAGGGGGTGGGCCGCCCTGCCTCCGTGGGGGGCCGCGGGCAGGGGGGCACAGGGCGGGGCTCCTTCCCTCGCAGCACAACCAGGAGGGGAGCGGCGGCCTCGCTCAGATCAGCTCGGGTCCCAGGAGCCAGGACCCTGCCTCTTTTTCCCTCTCGGGCTCCCCTGACCCCCTGGCTGTGCCCACAGAGAGGGCACGAGCGCCAGCTGGGCGCCAGCCCCGCCCCCCGCCCCTCTAACTCCCCGCCTTTGTCAGGGGAAGCCTGGAGCGGCAGCGGTGAGTCAGCAGAGCTCGCTCGAGGGACGAGGGACGCCCTGAGTCAGCGCTCGCGCTGAGGCCTCCCGGCTGAAACCGCGGAACTCCACTCTGCATCCCCTCACACGCCTGGGTTTAGGGCCGTGAGCGTGTATAGTTCACCAGAGCCTGGAGCCCGCGTCTACAGGCCCGAGGCCGTCTGCCCCAGGAGGAGGCAGGGCTGCGCTGGGCCGGGGGGCTGGGCAGGTGAGGAGCCCCGCATGCCAGGCCCTCAGCTCGGGAAGGTCGAGCTGGAGGTGGGGGGCGGGGGTGGCGGACAGGAGACAGGTCCACACAGGTGACATGAAGGACACTGAGCCCTAGACTGGTCCTCCTGGCCGGGCCAGCGGAGCAGGCAGGCTGAGGTCTGGACCCTCCTGAGGAGCCCTCAGCACTGGAGTCAGACGCCCCTAATTCTGGGCCAGCCTCGGTCACTGAGGCCAGAGGGTGACCCCCACCCCTCAAGGGGCCTCTGAGCTCTGGGTACAGTCTAGGGCCTTGGTCAAGCTCCGGGCTCCTGCGTCTGGGGGCCCGGGAGGGCAGGGCCCTGCGGGCAGGGGGACCAGAGACCCCAAAGCCTGCTGCTGGCTCAACACATCCGGCAGTGCCTCTGACAGCAGGTGCTTGGGTTCACGGGCCCCGCTTGTTGGCCGGACCCCAAGGGCCGGCGCAGAGCTGCAGCGGGCTCCCGGGCTGGGAGGGGACCCAGACACTGATTGCCACAACCCAGGGTTTATAACTCATGTCACCAAGACCCAGGGGCTCCCACTAATCGGTGACACAAAGCCATAAGTCGGTTAGAAGAGGAGGCCTAGGAAACCAAGGCTGCCAGATGCACACGCAAGCCCTTCTCCCCTCCTTCCTGCCGGACAGGAGAAAGCTGTCTTGCTGGGGAAGGCAATGCGCCCAGCTACAACTTCTCCCGGCCCCTTGCTGATATGGCTTGTGGCTCCAATTGATGAGATCTGACGGCACATTGCTAGGTGTGGCCTCCAAGAAACTTCCTTGAAAGTCAAGCAGATTCAGCTGGTGCCCGCCTTATACTGTTTGCCTTTCTCCTCTCCTCTCTGGGACCTGGGTGCAATGCTGGAGCAAGGCAGCCATTTTGTGACTACAAGACAAGCGGTACATTCTAAGGACAGATAAGCAGAAAGGAAGGAGAACGAGTTCCTAACCACGCCACGGACCTGCTGGCACCCATTCTGGGTGGCCTGTCCGCCGACTGCTTCTTACGTGAGCAAAGACACCTCTGATTTCTTTAAGTCACCGCTTTCCTGCTGCTGCTGTGGCCAAACACCGTTTCCTAATAGACATACTTCCGAGCAGGAAGGTCAGAACAAGAAATACTTGTGAAAATATAACAGGAGAAATGCTGATTGTAAGCACACCAACTGCCTTTGCCCAGCTATTTCATGGGCAAAGATAAAACGTTGTGAGCACATCACATGAGCAGGGACAGTCAATGAGGAGGCCGCTGCGTCAGGGCAGCTGGCCAGATCTCTTGAAGTTACCGAGGCCAGTCTTCTTTCTCTCTCGTGTGTTTTCTGGGACGTGATTCTGGGTGTGCCTGCCCAGGCGCAGAGGGACAGGGTGGTTTGGAACAGTCACAGACTGGAAACGACAATGACCCCATCCACAGGGCATGGTTATGGTGGTTCCGGCACTCAGCGACAAGGATGCTCACGGCTTTACGACAAGAAGAGGGAGTGATCCCCGTGACCCCTCGTTACGTGGGGAAAGAGAAGGGCGGGACTGTGTTTAATGTACTACCATCTTGTAAAAGACTTTAAAAATCATATATACTTATTTACAGCTTTCACGTGTAAAGTTTATAGTGTGAACAAAAATGTTTCCAGATCTATTATATTACCTGCGTGAGACAGGTCTGGACCGTCTCTCTGGATGGAGGTCACTGGTCTCCCAGTGGGGATACCCACACTGCATACCGTATTGAGCCTTTGGGTTTGGGATCTCTGATCCAAAGTACATCGGGTATTTTTTAAGATATCCATTAAAATAAAAACCCTGTCCTGAGCCCAGGTTTCCTCTCACACTGTGGACCAGAAAGTGAAAAGAGGTTCCCTGGGGCTGGCCACCGCACCAAGCCTCTCCACCGAGACCTGGCTTGCGTTTCCAGGCTCCGCCCACCCCTGCCTTCCCCCAGCCTCTTGCACAAGCCCCTTCCCACACCCTCGCTTCCCCTCTGGCTGGGGGACTGGCCTTTCCCACCCCAGGCTGTCTGATTGGGCCCCTCTCCTGCTGGCCCTTTCATTCCCCTGCTCAGAACTCGTCTGCCCTCCTGCCCACGGTTTTGAGCGGCGGGTCTCCTGGACTAACACCTTGTTCTCCTCCACTGCTGCCTACAATTCTCTTCTCCTCCTCCCTCCACCCACCCCCAGGCATTCTCTCTCAAAGCCAGGCCCTCCTTTGGGGGCTGCTCAGGCCTCAGGACTCTCTGCCACACCCCGCCTCTGTCCTGCAGGCTCGCATCTGTCTCTGGATGTTCCTAGGCCCAGCCTGCCCAGCCTGGCACCTGAACTGTGGTGCTGCGTGGCCCGGAGGACTGATGCCCACCGCGCTCCAGAAAACTGTCCCGTCAGCCCCCCGATAGGATGCCCTAACGAAAGGCTACTTACTCCAGTGAGAGGCTAACCCACTGGTGGGGGCTGGAAGGGGCCCGGAGCACAAGGGGGTGGTGGGACGCCCCAGGCTCCCGCTCCTCCCTGAGCAGGCCTGGCTGGTGCAGCCCCACCCATCCTTTCTCCCGCGGGGTGCTCTGGGCCCCCAGCCGCGTCCCCAGGGCCACTTCCCCCACCGCGTAGGCTGGCATTTGGAGAGGCTGCTCCCCACGCCTCAGCCCTGCCTCTGGCCTGGTGGTGCTGCCGGAGAACTTTCTCCCGATGGCAGATGGATCCCTTTCAGATGTGAGACCGAATCTTCTCCCATTGACATATGTTCTCTGTGCAGGAATGCCATCGGGACTGGGGGCTGGGGGCTGCTCCCTGCGTGTGTGTGTGTGTGTGTGTGTGTGTGTGTGTGTGTGTGAGGGGAAGGATCCCCAGGCTTCCGTCTGTGGAGAGAGAGTCCCCACACCCTGCCCCGCTCCACTAACAACCTTTCCCTGTCTTGACATGATGAATATCTTCAAAGAACGGGGTCTCCAAATAAGGTCACACTCACAGGGCTTCCCTGGAGGCTCAGTCAGTAAAGAATCCGCCTGCAATGTGGGAGACCGGGGTTCAATTCCTGGGTCAGGAAGATCCCCTGGAGGAGGACATAGCAACCCACTCCAGTATTCTTGCCTGGAGAATCCCATGGACGGAGGAGAATGGTGGGCTACAGTCCATGGGGTCAGCAAGGAGTCGGACACGACTGAGCAACTTCACTTTCACTTTTCACAGGGACCCGGCAGTCAGGACGTCAACACACCTCTGGGGGGACCCAGCTGAACCCACAGCCCTGCCCTCCCCAGACTCTGCCCGTGGGTATTCTGTGCTGCTTCCCTCTCTGCCAGGTGGTGGGCTTGAGCCCTGGTCGAACCAGAGCGGTGTCCTGACCCAGCTGAAATAAAGGCTTGCTCTCCAAACTGGGTCAGATCCCAGTGCCCCTGCACTGGGCCCAGGATGGCTTTCTGGAAGGGCGTGAGAGGACCAGTGACCTGGGCGAGAAGCTGCCTCGCGGTTCAGCATGAGCACCTGCACCCGGGGAAGACTTGGGCCGCTGTGGGGCGGGCGTGGTGCCTCCCCCGCGGTGGACTTGCTCATGTACTGTCAACACGCCACAGCCCACCAGGTGACAACCAGGGCTCATTCCCTATTAATAAGCCATTGTGGAAGTGTCAGTCACTCTGTTGTGTCTGACCCTTTGCGACCCCATGGACTGTTGCCCACCAGGCTCCTCTGTCCATGGAATTCTCCAGGCAAGAGTACTGGAGTGGGTTGCCGTGCCCTCCTCCAGGGGGTCTTCCCGACCCAGGGATCAAACCCATGCCCCCTGCAGTGGAAGCACGGGTCCTAACCGCTGGACTGCCAGGGAAGTCCCATCCAAAGGTTATTTGTTGTAACAAACCCAACTTTCAGTAATGATTCCGAGATGATTCTGGAAAAAGAAAGGCATTAACTTTGCCGTTTCTGCTGAGCAGTGAGGGATGTCCCGCAGGGCTTGCGGTGGGACAGGGCACCCAGAGGTCTCGATGAAAAAATGTGGGCGGTGCTGGGATGGAAGCCAAGAGGCCTTTCTTGTCTTCGGGCCGGGGAGGGGGCAGCAGCTATGGGTGAGGGGAGGTAGGCGGGCAGACTGAGGGAGCAGCCAGAGGGGCAGCTGGCTCCAGGGACGCGGCTTCCAGGCCAGCTTCGACCAGCAAGGAGAGGGACCGCGGATGGCCTGACCGTGGCTGTTCTCATCCTTTCCTCCAAACACTTTGGGAGGAGAGGTTGAGGGAGAGGAGGGGAGCAGAGGGGGGCGCACCCCATGCCCCAGTCCTTGCTGACTGGCAGGGCTCCAGAGGGCAGAGACACCCTTTTTTGAACCACCCCGGGGAGCAGGGGTCCCAAGGTTTCCCTTGTGAGACAGGCTTCGGTGTCCAGGCCCTCCCCACCCCAGGTTTTCCAGCGGTGGCGCCACAAAGGGGCTGATGAAGGCAGAGGGGAGGGTGGGTCTGTGCGCAGCCCCGGGGCGGAGCAGCTCACGGCCCTGCTAAGCCAGGGAGGGCCGCTGTTGGCACTTAAAAGCGGGCGGGGATGCGGGGAGGGGGGTGGCTGCAGGCTGAGTGTCCCCCCCAAGCCCTTCTTTGGGAGCACGTGGCCTCCTCTGACGCCCTGTCCACAGGGCCTGCGCCCCGATGTCCTGAAGGTGGCACCTGTGTCATTGCCTGGCCCCGTTCCTGGGCACCGGCCCTTGATGGACAGACCTACGGAAGCGGGGTCAGGTCACAGGGCGGCCCCCGAGGTGCTAGAGGGACCAGACCCCAGTCCACCCAGGGTCTCTCCGCACGTGCGTCAAGGGGGCCCGCGGGACAGGCACCTCTGGGGCTCGGGGACGACAGCCCAGGAGCTCTTTCTGGTGTGGCCCCACTGCCCAGCACACAGCCCCGCCCCGGACGGGAAGACCCTGGTGGGGTGGGCTGGGGAGACGCCTGCGAGGCTGGCTCTCATCCTCCTGCAGGGAGGACGGCCGACCCTGCAGACACTCCCGGGTTATAGGCCACATTCCTGGGTCAGGGAAGCAGCCTTTGGCCAGCTGGGAATCTCGCCTCGGGCCTCTCCACACGAAAGACAATGGGATGAGAGTGAAAATCTCCTGGCGGGGGTCATGGCCATGGTCCCCCTCGAGCCTCGAGCCCCCCACGTGGACCCTACCTGCAGGGAGTTGGCCACGGCCTCCAGGAACTGCTCGGGACTGTCCTTCTTAGGCTGAAATCGGTCCAGGTGCTTCATCACCGTTTCAATGCACTTCCCATAGTAGGCCATCTTCCAGGGCGGGACCCTAAGAGCAAACCCGACAGGTCACGCCTTCCGTGTGCCCTGGGCAGCCGACCCGGCAGGTGGTGAAGGACCCTCACTGAGCTCACAGGGGGTCCACCGGGGAGCCTCACGTGGCGAGGAGTGCCAGAGGAAAGTGGGGGCCCCGGTGGGCATAAGCCCAGGCCCACCTCCTGGACAGCATCCCTGCAGGCCTCGGGGAGCCTGCCCCTGGCTCCTGCTCGCCCACAGCCCCCCGCAGCCTTCTCACCCACAGAGGGAGGGTCCCGGGATGACGCTGAGGGAGGCCAGACCAGCGTGGAGGCCCCTGAGTCAACCCGCGTGTCCCTCAGCCCAGCTGGGGCGTGGCGACAGGTGACTCAGCAGTCCTGCTCGGGGCAGGGGGCACCTCGGCACAGAAGTCTGGGGCAAGGAGAGTCCTGAGGTCTCCACGCTCGGTACCCCCATTTTAACGGTGAGGTGACCAGCACCCTGGTTAGTACTGAGACGGTGGGGGACAGGGAGGCCCGGTGAGCTGCCGTCCACGGGGTTACAAAGAGTCGGACGTGCCTGGGCTACCGAACAACAATGACAAGCAGCACCCAGGGAAGATGCCAGGCCTGAACATTCCAGAAACGCAGCAGCTCCAGCAGACTGACTTGCTCAGAGCCTTTCTCTGGCAGACCCTGGAGAAGCTGCTTGGGGTGGGATGGGCTCCCAGGAACCGGTTCTAATAGGTGACCCCCACATTGTCCTCAGAGCAGGGTGGCCAAGCCCCAGGAGCTCCCATCTCACCCCGCCTTGGTTCCAGGCTGACTGAGCAGCTTCTGGGTCAACACGCAGCTGGTTTCCCAGGCGCCAGCTATCAGCAAGGCAGGCTCCTCCCTCTGCTAAGCTGGACCGGCTCCCGAGAGCAGCCCGCAGCCCTAGGTCCTGCAGGTTGGAGATGGAGTGGAGAAACACTGGGGTTCACCAGTGAGAGGCCAGCCCCAGCCAATCACGGCCCACGGGGTGAGACCCCCCACCATCACCGTAAAGAGAGCGAAGGCCCAGTGCCACCAGACGCCGCAGAGAGCCTCTGACACCAACCACGGAAACAGAAACCAGCCGAAAAGGACATTCGAGAACAGCGGGAACAACCCAGAAACAAACAACTACGCCAGCTCAGAGAGGGAGAGAGACGGTATTCACGAAGCATCTGAGAGAGAAGAGAGTTCTTGGAAATTAAAGTGTGATAGCAGAGCGGGAGACTTAAATAGGAGAGGCCAAGACAGAGTGGCGGAGAGAGAGCAGAAAAACAGGACGACGTCGAAAGTGGGGGAGAAAAGCACCAAGAAATCGAGACCCGTCCGAGAGACCCACTGTGCATTCCAACTGACAGGGGTTTCCGAAAGACAGGAGAGACGTAATACAAGAGGATGTCCCGGCAGTGATGGACGGGGGCCCCGGAGGCAAGTGGTGACAGAGGGACAGGACCGGGTGAGGGCAGCCCCAAGCCCCCCGACAGTGACTCTGGGCACCAGGCCCCAGGGAACCCCTCTCCAGCCTGGAAGGATGATGGCTCCGGAGGCAGTGATGGGTCCTGGTGGTGCCGGCAGCTGACTCCCCGGTACCCGTGGGTGATGGACGGGGAGGCCCAGCCCCCAGCCGGGGCAGTGCGCCCCGAGAGGGGCAGGCATGGGACTGGAAAGCTGGAGGTTTTTCCAGGAAGGTGACAGCAGCGGGCAGGCTGGGGGCCCCTCCCTGAGCAGTTTTCAGACGCTTTGCCGCCTACCCTTACCAGGAGAGGGAGGGCAGCGCTGAGCTGCTGGGGGTCCGTACACCTGGGCTGTACCACCCCGCACGGAGGCCTGACTGGGCCCTTCGGCTCCTGGGGCCCACTTTGGGGCCTGGCCCCCGCCGCGCGTGGACACAGAAGCTGGCAGGGCTCCTCCCAAATGGGGCTGGAGGAAAGGCCTCGCGGGCCTCAGAAACGTGCTGGAACTGGCCTGCAGCCCTGGGTCCAGGGGAGGGGACGGCAGGGCCTGCCCACCCTGGAGACCACGTCTCAGGAGGGTCAGTGGATCCGGAGACAGGTCTACCCCAGCCAGGGCCAGCGCGTGAGCAAAGGCCACGACTCACGAAGGCTCGGGGGTGCCCAGGGGCTCCTGTCTCCACACCGCTCCTCGTAGCCAAGTGCTTCTGAGCTGCGGGCAGCACCAGGGCCCATCACTGCCTCGGGGCGGGAGGTCTGGGAGGGGTGGCCTCCGGTCCGCGGACCCTCCTTCCACTCCAGCCATCACTAGCACTCCCAGGTTCTCAGCTGCTGCGGGACCGGCAGAGCCTCCTCAGCGTGCCCCCTCCTTAGGCTGGGGTCACAGCCCCTGGACTCTTTTCCGGCCTCGCCCTGGTCCTGCCCGCTTGGGCTTCTCACTGACTCAGAAGCCCCATCACATGTCTCTCCAGAAACTCGAGCTTTCTCCTCTCTCTTGTGAGCTCCTAGGCACCCCTCAGCACCCCACTCGAATATCACCACCTGTGAAGCCTTTCCTCCCCCGCCCTCCGCTCTCCCCTTCTCTGGGCCTCCTTCAAAGTCGTCCCAACTTCCCTTAAGCTCCCGTGAGCCCCTGCGGCAGGGTCTGCCTTGCCACCTCTGAGTCCCTTGCCCTTCCCCCAGAGCCGGCCCTCAGCACCAGCCACAGAATTGTCTGTGGAATGAATGAGGAACTGTAAACATGTCCGCCAGGATCGACCACGCTAAATGGTTCTTGTGTTTCAATCTGCTGTTTCAATCACACCAAGAGTTATGATCCAGGGAGAGACCTATCCAAAGACTATGATGCCTTTTAAGCCTTGGCTCCCACAGGTTCTGTAATTCAGCAGAGCTCAGCTCTACTGTCTCGTTTAGTTGGACAGTAATAGATGCGTCAGCGGCGTTCACGAGGCGGGTTACCGAGGAAGACAGCCACCTGGGGCTGGGGGGGCCGGCCCCTTCATCCCCAAGGAGGGCTTCCTGCCTATGGGACCCACCGAGGCCCAGGCTGGGGCCTAAAGTCCTCGACCACCCACTCCACCAGATCCCGGAACTGCACGGAAGAGGCACCCTGTCAACACGATAAGGGAGATAACAGTCGACCCCAGGGCTCACAAGGAAGCCCTAAACCGAGGCAAAAGGTCTATCTTTATGAAAGCAATGTCAAGTATCAGTTTTTCTCCTTCCCCCGCACTGCGGTCACGTAGGGGTCCTGCCCTGGGGCATGCTCAGCCTGGAGGGACTGGGTAAAGAGATCCCTGCTGCGCCTGATGTGGGCACTGAGAGAGCACGTGTGTGTATGTATGTGTGTATGTGTGTGTGTTTGTATGTGTATGTGGGTGTATGTGTATATGTATGTGTCTCTGTGTGTGTCTGTCTGTGTGTCTATGTATGTATGGGTGTGTGAATGTGTCTGTGTGTATGTATGTGTATGCATGTGCATGTGTATATATGTATGTATGTGTGGGTATATGTATGTGTATATGTGTATGTATGTGTGGTGTGTGGGTGCATGTATATGTGTGCAGTGTGTTTATCTATGTGTGCATATATATGCATGTGTGTACATATGTGTATACATGTATGTGGGTGTGTATGTGTGTATATGTGTATGTGTGGGTATGTATGTGTATTGGGCATGTGTGTGGGTGGGTGTATGTATGTGTGTATGGGCATGTGTGTGTGTGGGTGTATGTATGTGTATATGTGTGTATGTATATGTATGCGTGCATGTGTGCATATGTATGTGTATATGTGTGTGGGTGTGTGGGTGTATGTGCATGTGTGTATGTCCATGTATGTGTGGGTGTATTTATGTGTATACGTGTATGTATGTGTGCATCTATGTGTGCATGTGTATGTGTATGTATATACATGTGTGTGCATATGTGGATGTATGTGTATGGGTGTGTATGTGTACATATGTGTATACGTGTATGTGGGTGTGTATGTGTATATGTGGGTATGTGTGTATATGTGTGTGCATGTATGTATACATGTGTGTATATGTGTATGTATGTGTGCATGTGTATGTATATGTGTATGTGTGTGGGGTGGGTGGGTGCGGGTGTATGTGTGTATGTATGTGTGTGTACACATGTATATGTGCATATGTACACGTGTATGTATATACACATGTATGTGTGTATATATGTGAATTGTGTGTGGGTCTCTCTGTGTGTGTGTGTGTCTGTGTGTGTGTGTGTGTCTGTGTGTAATGGCACCTGGGCAGGAGGGCTTTCCTCCCCACCCCTCCCCTATTGTCCTGGAGCTGGAACATTCTGAAAATAGGATGACCTGAGGGGCCGTTTGGTGATGAGGCAAGTCAAGGAGGAGCAAGAGAGCCATCCAAGGCCTCTCTGTCCAGAGAGACCTGCATGGAAGGGACTGGAAGCAGTGAAAGGAGGGGCAGGGTGGAGGATACACAGAGGAGGCCCCCCTTCAATTCTGGCTCATTGTCAGGCCCGTGGGCTCCTGGGGTGGGGAATGGGCACCCCACAGCTGCCACAGAGGGCTGCCTGTAAAGGTGGACATTGGAAGAGGCACTTGAATTCTGCATTGCAACTGAAATTAGCCTAGAATCTTAGTCAAAATAGTCACAACGTTGGGTAGGAAATAGGTATTGAAGTTCATCCAATTCTGATGTGTGCTTTTAGCACCTAAGCTTTATTTTAATGGTGTAAAACCATACATGTGGGTAAGTGAGATTTAATTCCCAAGCTTATTGTTTTTTTTTAGTGTTGATTTTAACTCCAGTAATCAGGCCGTGACTGTCCCATATTTAAGGAAACTTTAAAGGTGGGCTGGACCAAGTCTTTTCTTAACAAATCCTTTACAGACAGAAATGAGATTACACGAGGAGACTTAAATTCCATAATTCCATCAGATACACACTAGTTCAACACTCTCAGTCACTAGAGAGGTTTAATTTACACGGATCCCAAATGTGTGCTAATTGAAATATATTCTTTTCCTGCTTTTAAGTTCTGATTAAATCCAGTCTCCTAAGGATTTCTGCTAAGTCATGCTCAGATGACTTTGTTTAAAGTACAGACCCATGTGGCAGGTTTTATTGGTTGCTTTTTAATCTCCACTCTTCCTTCTTCCCTGAGTACAAAACCCTGATTTTTAGTTGGGCCCATTGTTGCCTAACTGAAAGAGGACATTTCTTAGCCTTCCTGGCTTCTGGGTATGGCAAGAAGTGGAAGCATCTTGGAGACTTCCAGAAAGTCTCCTTGTAAGAGATGGGCATACACTTCCTCTCTTTTCCATCTTGCTGCCTGGACTCAGGAGGTGATGGCAGGAACTTAGGAAGCAATTCTGGATAATGAGGAAACATGCAAAGATGGCAGAAGAGCAAGTCAGAGGAACCCAGATCTCCCTGATGACTTTTGAGGGTGTCATATCTCCCATGATTTCCTCCCATGGGCCTATTTCTTTGAAACATTAACCTTGTCTGAGTCAGGTTTGCATAAAGCTGAACCTAATCCTAACTATTGGGCTCATGGTAAAGAATCCACCTGCCAATGCAGGAGACTCGGGTTCGATCCCCAGGGAAGATTACCTGGAGGAGGAAATGACAACCCACTCCAGTCTTCTTGCCTGGATAATCCCAAAGACAGAGGAGCTTGGCAGACTACAGTCCATGGGATCACAAAGAGTCAGACATGACTGAGCGATTAAGCACAGCACTAGCACTTAACAGATTCTCAGATTTTTTTTTAATTGATTTTTTTGGATCCAAATTAGGGCACGTTTGGGGGAAGTAGTGAATACGGGAGTATATCTTCTTAGAAAATATCTCTTGTTGAGATGATTAAAAAAAAAAAAAAGCACTGTTAACTTCAATCAAGGAGTTGGGAAGAAGAGGAGGTTAGCGAAAGCAAGACGGGAAGCAAGAAAGGACGAGCCTGCAGATCTCGGGGAGTGCAGGTGGGAGGTGCTGGTGCTGAGCCGACGCGCTTTGCCCACTTTCATGCTGCCCTACTCCGTGTACCTGTTAGGCCCGCCGGTGCTCGGAACCTCCTTTTTTCGCCACCGACCGCCGCACAGCAGTTGTCAGGATCGGCGGGCGCGAGGGGATTCGGGAACAGCAGCGGATCCCACCCTCTGCACTTCTGCTCCGCCTGGACCTCTGCACCCCCTTGGGCAGGAGCGGTGCTGGAATGCAGTTGGACCGTCGTCACCTAGCAACCGCTGCACGCTCCGGGCCGTGGGCGGGAAGACTACAACCCCCAGAATACACAGCGCCCGCGGCGGGGCAGAGGTCGCCCCAAACAAGGGACACGCCCCTCCCCGCCTCCCCGCAATGCCCTCCGGGACTTGTAGTTCTCGCCGCCGCAGGGCGCGNCTCACACCTCGTGGTGGCCGGCCCGCAGCCCGACCAGAGCCCCCCTCTTAATTCTCCTGGGTTCCGGAAAGACCTCTCCAGCCTCCCTCGCTACAGCGGCGATGACTCCTGCGCTCCCTCTTCGCCCCCTCCCCGTTATCCTGGACCCGAATGTACCTCCCACCCGCCGCCCTGCAATCCGAAACGGACCCTCTCTGCGTTTCCCCCAGGTTCTAGAGCGGCCCCCTATCTGTCTCTTTCCTGGGTCCCGGAAGGACCCCTCCTTGCCTGTGTCCGGAGCGGGTCCCCATCCCACTTCCCAAACCAGAACCGATCCGCGGCTGGCCCACTTGGCGTGCGTATCCTTGTCCCGTGCCCACCCGCGTGCGCTGAGCCCAGGGGATGCTCCCGCCCGCCGGCGGAGGGTGAGCGCGCCCTGGACCGCAGGCTCAGAGGGGCCGGCGGCGAGCACTTCCCGGCGCGGCGCCCCTCCCTGGTCGTGGGTCGGGGTCTGGGCAGCGTGCCCCGCGCCGCCCTCAGTGGCTGCGCCAGTCGCACTGCGGGCGCTGCGTCCCTCACCGCTCGCTCAGGGCTCGGGTCCGCTGCGGCCGGAGCTCGTCGGGGTGCGGCGGTGCGCCCGAACCGGGTGCGGGGTCCTGGGCGCACCCTAGACTTCCGGGGGCCTAACGCTGGGGGACCGGCGCCGCGGTAGGGCCGGGGCGCTGGGGTCTTGGCTGGGGGTTGGGGATTCTTGGTCGGGGTGGACATCTAGGCGCCTCGGACATCCACAGTGCGGCTGAGTGACCCCAGGGACACCCTCACCCCAAGGCTGACCACTTGTCTGGATCTGGGTTTTCTGCCCCCCTCCCCCGCCGGGGGTGGTCTCTCAGGGTCGGGGCAGGGGGCGGTCCTGAAATCTGTGGTCTTCTGGCGCCCGTTTGGGGTCAGCCGCCGTCTGTTGGAGGATGGGCACCCGAGGTCCGGCCGCGAGTTCAGAGACCACAGGGGCTCGTGCGTCATCGCCCGCGGGGTCGCAGAGTTCTCCAGCGATGGGCTGAGGGCTGAGGGCGCCTGGGACCGCCCCTTGCTCGGCCTTGGCCTGGCCCGGGGGAGGCTCAGGTTCTCTCCTGCCCAGGCGGCTGCAGCCCTGCTCCCACTCATCTTCCCACCTCCCAGTCAGGTGGCAGCTGTGTTGGCCGCGTGCTGGGGGGACCCTGGTGCCTCCCAGCGCTGCCCATGGTCTGGGGCCTCCCGCCCAGCCCTCTTCTTACTGCAGTCCCCCCACCCCCACCCCCAGCAGTGGCTCTGATCCTCCTGGTTGGTGCTGTGTAGGTGGCCAGGAGAGGGGAGCCGCCTCTGAACACGATGTCTGTACAAGGAGTGGCTTTTTGTTTGTGTGACTTCTGTCCCCAGTTAAGGAAAAACCAAATAGACTTTCAGAAGGTTACTTTGGGGGTGGACAGCAGAACCGTTTTTCAGTGGGCAGGAGTGAAAAGAGACAACATATCATAGTAACGTTCTACTATCTCTGCAAACACTTTGTCAAGGATCCTTTTTCCAGGCGGGGCTGGGGAAGAGGCCTTGTTTCCAGGGTTGTTGTTCCACCCCATGGACTGCAGCACACCAGGTTTCCCTGTCCTTCACCATCTCCCAGACTTTCCAGGACTGCCTGACTAACACATTGTTGGAAGGGACGGAAAGGCAATGTGGACACTGTTTCATCTGCAGCTGAATAATTCCAGTGGCCCTCCCTGCTTCAGTTTAGGGAAAAGTCTTTAGAAGTGGGAAATGACTCTGCCCTTGAGATTGTGCCCCAGAATTGAGAGTTGAGTCCGTAGTTTTCCGTCTCTGCAGGCAGCTCTGCCCTTCCAAAGCCAGCCCCGGGGGTGGGCAGGGCCGGGTGGAGAGCCCATGAGTCAGTCTGTGCCCGAGGAGAAGAAGGGGGATGTGTTTCTTCTGGTCCCACTCCTTCCCTTAATGTGGTCCCTCGGTCTGTTGTCTGACCCTTGGACTTGAGACATATCCCTGTCTGAGACCTTTGTGTTTGCCCCGAGGCCCGTCAGCCTGAGCGTGGCAGTCCCTGGTTGGACTTCTGTATCTGGGGTTAAATATCTTGATTATCTGAAGGGTTGGAGGAGGTTCGGTCACCCCAGTAGCTTTTCATTTTTCAAACCCAAGCTCCTGTTTTGGCCTTAGATTGTGAGACTGACCACACTTCCCCTCCCTTTGGCACGAGTGAGCAGGAGTCAGTTCTGGGAGGTTTCTGGGCCTGGAAGAGCTGAAGTGTTAAATGCTAGGTGTGGGGAGGTGTGTCTGAGAGAGGTTGCTACCTGTCGTGAGGGTTTTTTCCATCGTTGTATTTGGATAGATATGCAATTCAAACTGAATTCTTTTTTTTTTTTTTTTCAAACTGAATTCTTGATTTAATCCCTGCTTTGGTTTAAAACTGAACACTGAGCTTCTTGTTCATCACAATGCAACGGAAAACATTCTGAAACCAAAAATACTCGTTGTTCTTGTAGTTCTGAAAAGCATTTGGAAATGCTTTAAAATATTCTTATATGATGCTTACAATTTTTGATGTCTGAATCATGAATAGCTACCTAAGTTGAATGACAAACCAGACCAACCTGATGTATACAATAGTTATTTGCAGGCTCTCATGCTTCCTCTTATTTTCTTTAAGGCGGTCTTTTAAGCACAATTGTGGTTTTTCTCCATGGAAGGTGTTTAGGATTTCTAAATGTCTTTGCTTTTCCTTAGGGGAAAACTTTCCAAGAAAGAGTTAACTCTAAGAATATGAAATATCTTGGAATAATGGTCTTCATTTTCATCAGAAGTCTCAGTACTTGTGTTTCATGCTGTGTTAGAACTTTCTTCCTGATCCCCAGTGACTGGGCTAAGGGGAGAGGTCCAGGCGTGGGGTGCGGGGGCCTGACTAGGCCCCTCCGGGTCTCCTTGGACGCACTGTGTTTTCCATCCTGGGGAAGAATGGATCGGTGGGTGGGTGGTGTTGCCAGATGGACGGGGATCCCCACGCGTGGCCGTGCCCCCCGCGAAGAACTCTCTTGTCTGCACCCCCAAACCACGTCTAAGGGTCATTAACTTTCCTTGTCCCACCCTTCTTTGTGGGGAGGCAGTCCTTGTAAATACGGAGCTTTCCTGAGTGAGTTTATCTAGAAACTTCCTGTCAATATTCTGGGTTCGGTTCAGGGATGAACTGGCCTTTTCCAAGAGAAGCTGAGAAACCTGCTGGGTGTGTGCGCTTTGTGAAAGAGGCCCTTTGCGGAGTTGCGGTCTGCCAGCTGCGGGGCTGGGGGTGGGGGGGCTGTGTGCAAAGCTTCCCACTGTGGCTGTTGACCCAGCCTGGTCTCAGTGGCTAGGACAGGCCTGGGCTTGTGTCTGCTTGGCCCCCGTCGTCCACAGACACGAGCAGCCACTTGTCTTTGGGGGGCTCCCCCCATGGTGGCCGAGGGTGAGGGGACCCCCACTGGCAGCAAAGCCTCAGGTTCAGAAGCATGGCGGGAGGGGTCACAGTGGAGGCGAGTGAGGTGGTGGTCTTCCCGTGACCTGAGTCCTGCTGCCCTGGGCTCTGTTCGGGAGCGTGACCGTGACCGCGGCCGAACGCCCCAGCAGCACCGTCGCGTGCCCTGCTCAGAGCGCAGCGAGGACACGGATGGGCACGGGCGCGGCTCCAGGGTCTGGGATGTCAGTGCTGACTTCTAGCAGGGCTGCTAACTGCTTCTTTTCCAGCCGATAAATTCTGAGCGCCCAGCTGCGGCCGCGGCCGTCCTTGGAGCAGCAGGTCTGTCTCCTGGGACGTGGGGGCAAGGGGAGCCGCTGGAAAGCCAGGCGGTCTGCCCCGGCCAGCGGGGCCCCGGGCCGGGAACGGGGCTCCCAAGTCCCGGAAGGATGCTGGGCGGTGCTGAGTCAGAGCACTGGCCGGGTGCACCTGTCTCTTGTCCCTGAGTTCAGAAGGCGCCAGGCCCGCCCCCGCCCCCGGCCGCCCCCACAGAACCATCCTTCTGATGCAGGCCAGCCCAGGCACACGGGACGGCCTGGGAGTCTGCCTGCCAAGGAGGCTTGTAGCACCCACGTCGGGTCTGGTGGGGGACCCAGCAAGCAGCTCTCATCTCACTCCCCAGGCTCCCCTGCCCTTCGTCCGTGGCTGGGGGCGGGTGGGGGCACGTGGGGGTCGCACACGCCCAGCCTCGTGCTGCCGGCGTTGGCGGGGAGGGGAGAGGCTGAGCCGCAGACGGGCACTGAGCGTCAATCTCTGTGCCCGCTCTGTGCCAGCTCTGAGGTCATCGCTCAGGGCTCTGTGCTTTACCATCAATGCAGCGGCCTGTTTACGGGAAGCATGTGATAACGGTTTCTGTTAAATGGGCGAGTCACAGGCAGGGAGCCTGAAGCTTCGGCTAATTGCTGTCTGGCCTCGGCGTCCAGCGGGCGGTGGTGGGGTGCGGGCGGGGGTTGGGGGAGGGGCCTGGGCCTTGGTGTACCGTCCCCCGTGAATGGGAAGTGTGTTGGGTAATTCCGTTTGCCCTTCTGCTGGAAGGCGGGTGACGTCAGCAGGGCCTCTCGCTCAGACTGCCTGGAATCCCCAGAGCACAGGCAGGCTGGTCCTCCGCGTATGGAGGTGCCTGTGCGTGACTGGGTGGTCATCTGCCAGTTTCGAAGGCAGAGTCTTGTCGGGGCCGATAACCTCGAGCAGCCCCGGCCCTGCAGGGTGTGCCGCGTGGCCACAGAGGTGGGCGCAGGTGAGCTGATGCCAGTGCAAAGACGAGTGAACGTCTGCAGTGTTGTGGGTGTCGGGATCTCTCCCATGTCTACCGCCCTCAGTCTTT